ATAAAATAAAATCCAAATCAACCATATTTTTTAAAAGATAAAATTAATTAATATAAAGTATTTGTAAGAGACCAAATTAATTAGTTGATTCTATAAAGATTTTCGATAACAAATTGAAGTATTATGAAACAGCAAAGAAATAAAGACCATTTTGGGAATTCAACCTGTACTAATGCGATCGCCACAAATTTGAAAAGGGTATATACCATTTGTCTGGATTAAAAACATGAAAGAAAATATTTTTGAATTAAAAAAAAAAACATTTTTGTTTGTTTTCTCTTGAATCAAACCTCTGTATTTTGTTTCTCAAATATAGCATAAGTCTATTACGAGTTAGTGAATCCAATTTTATTTGGACTGGTTGGTTAGATGCACTATAACATCTAACAGTCCGTTTAAAGTACATTCTGATTTCATATCAAAATGGGTATAGGGGTGTGCGGTGAAGAGGCATGCGCATGCAAATGTTAGACAGATTCACATGAATCACAACATACTCAACCAGTCAGCCTTTTATTTTTATACTAAATGAGAAATTCTTAATTTATTCAACGTCTGTACCACAGATTTCCAGCTTAATTTATTGGGTGTCACATGTCAGAAGCCAAAAAAGATCGTAACCATCTGGTGCACACTATAGGCATTCATTTTACATCAAACAGTTGAAAACTATTTCTAATCATATTAAATATGCATGTCAAGTTGCAATGAAAAGCACAGTTATTTCACGTGTCTTGCCGTAATAGATGGCTTTAAAAAATATGCTTGGCCAGGGGGAATGGGGAAAATACGGGATAAAAATATAGTAAAATCTCGATTTTGCCAAGTTGCTTGAACTGAATCCTAAAACTCGCTCCCAAGTCATGCCAACAACACCCAGGTTTCAAACCACTAACCGAGTCTACAATAAGAAAGACAGGAGGTTCGTTTGGGGGTAAAGACAGAGGAAGTCAAACCACTAACCAACAGATTTAGAAGCCAAAAATAGACAACCACCAGAGATCAATGATGAAGAGGAACGAAGATCAATGAGAGATTAAAAGAAATTAAGTGAGGAAAGGACGTCATAACATTTAGGTTTTCTCTTGGGGTTACGCCGCAGGTCAGTTTTCTCAACGTGTCAAGAGTGTCACTCAGCTGCCCAAAATTGGAAATTCCACCAATTTATCATCAAGCTCACAATACTCTGCGATTGGGATCCTAAACCTTCATGGGAATAGCAGGATTGGATAATACTAAAAATAAAATCTCGATTTTGACAAGTTGCTGCTCAACTTGGATGTTAATACTTTTCAGAACGAAGTTAACAAAGAAGAAGGGTCACTACATATTATCATATTTTGCATAAGCTCAGAAAACTGTAAAAATAGAATGGCCCCGAGCTGCAACTCTGATCATCCTAGCAATATCAACAGCAAAATTCATTACCCTAAAGTGAGAGCATCTTAGCAAGACCAACGGCAAAATCATAGGAAAAGAATCAAGGAACTTTCAACAGGTTATATGAATGAAACATATGCTCGGAAAAACATTGTTAACAAGATCTAAGAAATGATTTTGACATCTGAGACAAAAAAAAATGTTTCAAAATTTATAATAGTAGTACAAACAAGCAAGTTAAACTCTGTTCCTTACACTAACTCAACAATTTAATATTTTCCATGGAACTTTGAATTGTACCTACTTTTGTTGAACGGAAAAATCATTTTCTTCCATGCATCTAATACTTTCAGCCATGAATGCAAGTACTAGACCACTTAAAGTTAATATATCATCACAAAGCTACTAAAATAAGAAAATGAAACAGCTATTGAAGAAAAACAAATGAATCAGCTTTCCTGCAATGTTTCATGCCAAAATGAGGAAATTGGAATGGATTTAATGGCCATTAGATTCAGAGAACCCCAACCCTCCCAAAAACAGAGACTCATACAACTAGCCAACCATCCAAATTAGCATTTTAATGCAAATCTGAAAGACACTTAATTTATACTTTTGCATTCACATCATGGTATTACTCACCAGCTGATAGGGAATTTCTCATATTACTCCTTTAGTCCTTTCTAACATATCTTGAGCAGCCTAACACACAGCTAACTCTAAGACAAAGTCAACAGTACCTTAATGGATGAGAGAAAGTAAGGCCAAACAACTGAGGCATTTATCAACTTAAATAGCTTAACAAGTTATCAAAACTTTAAAACAATTACTTCTATCAAATTACAAGTACTAAAAGGTTACATTTTACATCATTTCATCATGCTAAATACCCAACTGTATTCTCAAAGCTTAGAATCATGTCAAACATTAGTTTCCCCTTGCCTTTCTTCCAAAAATTGCACGTTTCCATCCAATAAAAAAAGTTTAATAATATACAATACAGTAATTACAAAGAATCAGAATCATCCGATAAAAGAAGCCAAGCAATGCCGTCGCAAACCCATCATTCCAATTCAAACTAAATGAACTCAGAGGGCGAATTAGCATCAGGTTTTACATTCCCCAATCCACCGGCATGATGCAAAACCTGAGGAGGCAACGCCCCCAACCCACTCCCCAATCCATCAGTTCCAGAACCAAAGAACTGACAAAGAAGCCTCGTCACAATCCCTAGAACCTGCATTTGATTCTGACACGCCTCAGCGTGCATCTGCATCATCTGCTTCTCGTGTTCCACCTGCATCGCCACCATCCTCTCCCTCCACTCCATCTCCTCCTCCTCCATCTTCTCCTCCACCCTCTTCCTCCACCGCCGCTCCACCTCAAGCTCCCTCTCCAACCTCACCCTCTTCTCCAACTCCCTCCTCGCCCACCCTAACTGCCTCTCTTCCAACTCCAATTCCCGATCCTCCAACCACTCCCTTCTCTTCTCTCTCTTGAACTCCGATTCCTTCCTCTTCCTCTCCCTCTCAGCCTCCCCCTTCTCCCTCCGAAACTCTCTCTCTCTCCTCCTCTCTTCCCTCTTCACCACCGCTTCCCTCAACTGCAGAACCCCCGCAACAATCCTCTTCAGCTTCGAGTTCTCCTCCTCATCCTCATCAACATCATCGATTTCGTGATCCTCTTCCTCGTCATCCTCCTCATCGGAACCAATCTCAAACCCTAATTTATTATTATTAGGGTTTTCTAAGAGTTGAACGTCGCCGAAGACTTCTTTATACTTGAGAAAATTTTCCCAGTGATTGGGACCGTCCTTCCAGTTGAAGTGGTGAGGAGAGAGACGGATCTTCTGCTTGACGCCGAGGTATTGGTGGCGCATGTTCTGGACCTTTATGGAGACGTCACGCCACGACCACTTGAAAGGGAAGGAAGAAGGGTCGCGGAGGTGGTGAAGAGCGTTCACGTGCTCTGCCACAGGCTTGAACTTCTTCTCGCGGGTTTTGAGTTTTGCTAAAGTCCCTGAACGTAGTAGCTCCGAGTATTTCGATAACAGGGTTTGTTCCTCTAATTCCGACCATTTCTTTCTCTTCATTGAAGCTTAATAATCCGAAGTAAGTGAAGCCACCTTCCTTGGGTTGGACCCCCGAGAGACTCTTCCTACTCAGAAACAGAGAGGAGAGGAAGATGGAGTGAGTCAAAGACAGGGTTCACATTTTTTACATATTTATACATTTGTAAATAACTTGTTGTAAGTGTTTTTTCAAGTTCATAACCTTTTTTTTTTTAATTATTATTTTGGTTAGGATAAAGAGTGATTAGTTTTAATTGATGTATGCCAAACTTACTTTTAATTTTTACACTTCCAATTTTGAATATTCTACTAAATTATTTTATTATTTATTGTTGGATTTTACTATATACAAATCATGAATGTAAAATCTTATCCTGAAAAAGGTTAACATGATATGTATTTTTGACATATCTAATAATAAAAATCATTTGATTTTATTTGTAATGTTATTTGACATTTACAATATTTTTTTAAAGTGATTAAGATAAAAAATAATAATTATGATTCCATAATATTCATTTTTATATAAAATTGAAAAATTGCATAAGTGCTAAGTATATATGAGTATGTATCGATTAATACACATTTAAAAAATTATATTTGCATACAACCAATTATAAGTTAACAGATTTAAAATTGATTCAGTTAAATTAACACAATAGAACAATAGAAATGAAATTCAAAGATTTAACCGAAGATGAATATTCAACTTGAACCAACGCGAATTTTCTTCTTTAACTAGTCTGATTGCAATATGACTTAAAGAAAGGTTTTTAACCGGGTTTGATGTATTAATAATGAATGTTTCTCTGCTCATTCACTAAATGCTATAACTAGATTTACGAAGGATAAAAGACGAGCAGAAAAATAACAGGAAAATATGCATAACATATTCAATTGTAAATAAGAACTTTACTTCTAGCTTAAATTCAACCATACAAACACAAAACTTATTGCACGGCCATTTTTCTTTAAGATGCAATAAAAACTCTTGCATACAATTTATTTCCAAAACCTAAGTCAAGACATTAATAGAATCAATAAAACGATAATTGTGTCAGCCTCGTCGGGGATCTGTGGATATCCAGGCTTCTACTATTCGTGGATAAAGATGTCATCCTGTCGCTGACTCAATTTTAAGGGTAAGCTGTAAGTGGCTAGTAGCTAGTTAGATAACACGATCAGGTAAAAGCTGAAATTGGTGGTGTAAACAACACAAATAAATTGGTTGGGTGTGAAAATGAATGGCATCGTGGAGGAAAGATGCATTAACATTGTCATGGATCAATTTAATCGACATGTTACCAATTACGAAGCCCCTTTTATTAAACATTTAAAGCCATTTAAAAAAAAGACCAGCCTAATAGCTTACCAAAATATAATAACAGGCAGATCCACTTGCCCTTGGTATTGATACGGGTCCAAAAGAATTAGACCCATTTATTTGCGAGACTACGCGGGTTGATCATTTGCGGATTAGGATAAACCACTCTCCATACTCTGCTCCTACTTATGTGTAATTCCAAAACCATAGAAATCATGAAGGTGACAATGAAATTAACGTAATTTATATATCTATCAAATATTAATCAAAGGTAGCAAGTAACCACCAGCTAGGGAAAAAAATACATGATAAATCTTCGGCTCAATACGCGCTTCGACAACAAATCATCTCAATTGAAGCATTATATTTACACAATAAAATGACAAGCAAACCAGGAAATCATGGAGTTCGCTAACTGACGTTCATGCGTGTGTCATGAAACAAGACCCTCTCGAGCGATATTGGTCACACGAAGTACAGCTTGAGCACTTAAAGGAGAAAGTTTTGACTGACAGAAGCTTTCCCAAGATCCCATCTCAGGATGCTCCGTGACAGTAGCTGGCATGGGATCGTGAAATTTCTCATACACATTTTGAAGCTCAAGAAGTAGAGCTCGGGCTGCTTCCCTGGACTCAGGGAGTTGGTCACTCAACTGTGATGCAGCCACTTGGATTAATTTGTCAATTCCATATGTCTTTATTCCTTCTACGCCCTGTTTAAATAAAGTTCAAGAATGCAACACAGCAAATGTTATGAATGCTCTGAATCCAATTGCAAAACAGGCTTGCCATATTCAACTATTCATTACCCTTTCTAGTTCAATTGAGTCCTTTCCAAAGTCCAACTTGATAGTGCAGGAAATAAACTTAAAAATGTAGCAGATTTAAATCTTTTTAGAAAACCCCCACCCTCCATTAGATTTTGTTGGAAGCCATGGATTTACTAATAACATGAATTGAAAAAAATAGCAATAATACACAACTGAGCTCCTTATGTATAACTATCAAAGTAAACAGCATGAAATAATTCTGAAAACAATTTAGAGATACTAAGATACATAATAAGTACATATATGTTGATTGTTTAACAAACCAGTTTCAGAGAATTGCACAGTAGACTAAAATAGGTATAAGGTCATTACTACTCGAAGGTTAAACAAGATTAGCATTATATTGGTAAAAAAAAAACATGATTTATAGGCATGTTCATGATAAACCATTCCTAAAATCAAACATAGACAAATGAAGTTTTGTTGAAAAAATTTAGGACTGAAACAGAACCAATTCAAAATTGGTTCAGATGTCCAAAACACAGGCACACAACATTTTGAAATTTCAACGTCAATGGTGAGCAAGGTTCTTTTCCTGCATCATTAAACTGTTTCCTAAAGTTTTTCTTTTTCTCTTTTGCTGCAGAGAAAATCACTTTGCGGCAAAAGTCATCAATATGAACATGTCTAAATGTTATCAATGGGGCAAAATCATAAATGTATGCTTACCAGTTGTGGAACACTTCGAGAAAAGCACATTGATGCCTTTGCCCGGATGCGAGGATTCTTGTTCTTAAGGTATGGTTGCAATTTTGGCAATAAAGAAATAGGGGAAATCCAAGTAGTCATTGATATCAAGGCTCTTTCAGCTGCCTCACATACAAAGCGTTTGTCCTGTGAAGACTTGAGGAGAAGCTGTACTAGCTGCATCCATCATACATGTTTCACATAGAACATGTTAATTACGAATAATACTATCAAGTGTATGATGATTCCATAATGCTTAAGTGAGAAAATTTACCAGTACAGACAAGAATTGTTGACTTACCAGAGGGTCCAGTGAATCTACTATGAGGTCATTATATGCGCTGAAAATGTCAGCAGATGTCATAATGGCAGTTTTGCAAACAGCACTTCTAGGACTTTTCAGGGACTTTGCAATAAAAGTAATGACATCCCCCCTGTTTACCAGAAAACATATTAATTTAACAAATCCAATAAAAAACATAACATATTAAGAAACGATTTTGATTCAAAAAACCATATTTCGATCAGAAAACATAAAGAAAGTTTAATACTTACAGCATATCGAGCATTGCTTCCTTATGAAATATAGATATCCGGCGTACATTATTTAGTGCATCACAAACCAGGATCCAGTCCTTTGAGTCAAGTCCAGCTAAGAGGGTCTGTAACAAAACAAAATAAGTACTTTCACATAAGTCTTGCATTTCTTAAATATAGCTAATAGTAAAGCTATTAGTCAAAGGTAAATAAAAGAAAATTCAAACACAGAGTATTAAGCCAGACCAATTTCAATGGTTATCAACTTTCAAAATTCAAACCCCAAAAGTCCCCCACCCAAAATATGTATAAAATAATACCTTGAGACAAGCATCAATATCTTCTAGATCATTCAAGTTCTCAGATTCAATGTATTCTACTTCTGCATTTCCAATCTCTACACCAGAAGTAGCAGTCACAGTCTGATTTCCATTAATAGCTGGACAAACCAAGGGGGAACAATTCTTTTTCTTTTGCCGTTCTTCAATATTTTCAGCAGCATTATCAACAGAAGGCTTGGTTAAACATGCCTTACTGGAGCCCTCACTCTTCCTTTCAGTTCCAATTGTATTGAGATCCCTAAGAGCATTTTCTGACATCCCTGTCAGCTTTAGTCTGAGATCAAAAGGAAGACATCTGATCAAACTCAAGAAGAAGAGCTACTCAAAACACTGTTTAATTTCTGAAAACAAGTTCAATGTAAAGAATGGATTTCACAGCCAAAATCAAACTCTCAAGCCAAGATCTGATCATTAAAAAAAAAGAAAAAAAGAATCACAAGCTTCACTCTATCAGTCCAAAGAAGGAAAACAATTCTTCGATATTTTGATTCACTCCTGATTTTCCATCCTTTCCAAAATTTGGTACTCCAGGACCGTTAACCTTGTTCTCAATCTTATTCATCCAGGATAACATAAAAATTGAATGTCCACGGAAATTCATTCTTGCATCAGCCAATTCCAATCCTAGGACTAAATTTCCACTTCAAAATAAACGCCCAACCCTGATACACCGCAATCACCCCCCACAAATCTCCAGGAAAGCAAATTCTAAGTATTACACACGATTCAGGTAAGATAAGACCGATATACAATGCATACTAAGGAGATCAAAACAGAAGCATGAATCAAAATATAATGTAGATATTAAAGCCACAAACAAACAGATTCAATGCAAAATTGAAGCTGCGCAGTAACAAAACCAAATCCCCCAAATAAACAAATAAATACAAAACTAAATAGCAAGATCTCGGCATGTGCGGCACTACACTCCCCAAATCTTCATGAAGAAACACTCATATTTGAATCCTAATCCCTAACAGCATAGCATTGATTCGAATACCAAAACGACACAGTAAACGCAACTGCGCGTACGGATCACTTGAAAACGACTGGCGAGAGAAAAAAGAGATTACCAGATGAAGAGAGAGAGTGATCGAAGGAGAAATGCAGAGAATGTGATCAGTAGCTGAGAGCGAGTTATGCAGACTCAGTCAACTCAGTGTGAAGAACACGAAGAAGAAAGTGAGATAATTTGTGTTTTTAGTAACCGACGAGAGAAGGGACGAGACAAGAGTCGCACAGTAAAACGACGCCGTATTAGGGAAATCGGACCAAGGCCGGCAAAATTGGAGGCCAATAATAAATATGCATTGCATTTACATTTGCATTTGCATGTGAATGCGATGGGCAGCGGAATCAGGTGAGCAAAATTAATTTCACCGTTTTTTTTCTTCTTTCTGTGATTTTCCCATTTTGCCCCATTGGTTTTGACTCAAATTACCAATCACCCCCCTTCTATCTTTTTCATTGTAAAATTCCATTTCTTCTTTCGAAATTTAAAATTTATAATTATCATGGCTGTTTTTCACAGTGATTAATATGGTTCTTTCAAATTTTGAATTTTGTTTTATTATTGTTAGGTCGCCTGTTTCGGAAACAATCAATGAATGACGCTCCAACACAAGAAAGGTGCGAGTTTTGAGTTTTGAAATGATGCTTTATCGTTTTAGAAAAGGATTAATTAATTAATTGTGTTCAAGTTTTATGTGATTTGCCTAGCTGGCAGCTCTTCATTGAGAGTATTAAAATTTGAAATCATGATTGCTGAATCATATTAGCAGACCTGAGCTGTGTGATTTTCTTACATGTCTCTAGTCAATTGTTACTGTCATTGAAATTGGTCACAGCATCCGTACGTTAAAAAAATGTCAAAATATATATTTCGTATTAATATTTTTTCCACAATCTTTTAAAAAACTACGAATAATATCTTTATTTTTTTAAAAATATTAAAATTTCACGATTTTTATAAAATATTGTCAATTTTAATTTATTAATAATAATAACAACTTATATGTGGCAATTGATATATAGTAAGTTTTATAATAACTTATAAAATTTTATTAAAAAATTATATTAAAGACTAACGATTTTTTTAAAAAATCCTCTAAAAAAACCATTAACATTTTCTTAAAATTATAAAAAATAAAACTATTTTATATGAATTGATTGTTCAATTATTTTTATACCAATTTTATTTTTAAATTGATGTTATCTAGATATTCACCATTAAAATTATGATAGATACTTTTTTATTGTTTTAATATTATTAATAGTGCTAAAAAAGGATCTTTATTATGACTTTTTTTCACATGTTTGGACTATTTGAATATCATTTCCTTTTTTGTGTGTGCATATAGACATTGCCACCTTATTGTGATGTGCACTCTTAATATTGCAATTGCTATTCAAACTATATGTACTATTTTCAATAAAAATTATATGTATTTGCTATGTATGTCACTTTAACTAAATAAATTGTACTATTTACGAATACAACATGACTCGGAATGGATTCTCCTAGGGCGGCCCAATTATATAATACTATTGGTAAAGCTTTTGTATTAGGCCTCTTAAAAATAAATTTTATTTATTAATAACGTTTAAAAAAAAAACTACTTTATTTGATGATTTAAATTAATTTATTAGAATAAATTAAAAAATTCACTAACAATGTTTCTTGTTTTATGATTTGACTTTTTTAAAATTGAAAAAATATAGCAAGTCACATTATAGAGTTCTTTTTACTTAGTTTATTATTTAGTTTATATTTTCAAAAAAATAACACGATGTTTTTTAAAACATTGAAGTAGACCTCAAAACTTCAATTTATTTACTTATTTACACTTCAAAACAGAGCATTAGTCTTTTTTTTTTTATAGAAGTTTCAAAGGTCAAAATGATATTCCAGTCACTTACTATTTTTTATTCATTTTCTAGTTATATTACACTTCTGAATTCTCTCTTCAACTTCATAGCCAGTCACGCTAACTCTTCATTATTTAGCCACAAGTTTCAATTCCAACAAGTCAGAAAATTTTCCAATAAACTCACATTTATATAGTAAAAATAAATTTGAATCCTCTTATTTATATAATTGCATGCCTTTTATTTTGGGTGTTGAAAGTGAATATTTTATTGAACTTGTACATTCTTTATTTTGTATTTCCAGAGAAGAATTGGCAATACATGTGTTATATTTTGTTAATTTCTTTGTCAGTTTGTGATCCAGTGATGGGTGATGATGGAAAGCTTTGTCAGTGTATCATGAGAGGGTAACAATGGTACAAAAGAGACGTTTCTGCAAGTGTGCATGTGCAAATAATATACACCATGTATCAAGTTCAAGATATTTGAAACATCTTTGTCTAAACTATCTTATATACATCTCAAGTTATGTCTCCAATTAATAACTGTAAATTACAATTTAATGCATGGTTAGATGATACAATCATACATCGCACTTTCCTTTCATCTGGCCCATTTCTAATACTAAATATTCATTATTCGTTTTGATATCTCAGCAACGTATGTTTATGGCTTCAATGTTGACTCCCAACCAGTTTGAAGCAGAACTACTCGCAGGATTCAGGTTATTATAACACAAATAGGTATCCGTTTATTTTAAATTCAGATAGAATGGATTTTATTTAAACTATTAATTTAATTAAAATATGGAAAATGTAGGGTCACAGGTAAAGGAATTAATCAGTGTGATTTTTAATGTTTTTAACATGATTTTGAATATAAATTTCTCCTTTTACCTAGTATTTATGACACTCTTAATAATTGAACTTGTATTAAAATTGTAAAACTACATAATTTGTGTATTTTTACAAACTTTTGATACACTGTGCTAATATTATTATAAAATTGATCGAACTTGAAGACAGTTATCCAAATATTTTGACTTTATTCCTAAACGATGTTAAACGTTTTAACACATTCCTTTAACTTAGTAGTGGACATTTGGTATGTAAAGTTTGTTGGACTAAACATATGCAAATAACTTAATAAGATTAGATATTTGTAGGAAGTCCAATATTTATTTAGAAAAAACTTTGATATCATGTTAGAAAATTAAAGTAAATAAATGTTACTCAAGCATTCTTTTCAATGTAGCCCATATAAATAAGAATAAAAAAAAAATTGTTGGATATTATATTAATATTTTTCTTTAAAATGAATATATAATAAAATAAAAATACTTTCTAATTTATTGAGATTTAATTAAATGTTCAATTTTTATAAAAGTTACAAAATCTGAACACAGTTTTTATAAAATATTTTGTCAGACTTTTTTTACATATTATTATTTTTGTCTAACCTAACTAAAATTTTACACTGAGTAATATTTCAACTTCACTGGAGACTAAAAATAACAGTTTGAAAAAATATGGACTATATATTAAAAAAAATTATAGGGATTAAATCTAAATTATATAACTTTTGTAGGAATTAAATTTCTATTTATTTAAATATATGAAAATAAAAAAATGTAAACTGAGACAAATAAAAACAATAAAATGACAATCAACAAATTAAATAAATTAAAAATATCATATTAAAAAGAAAAAGTAATGGACAGCTCTCGTCTGCGTAGATGCCTTTGTTTATGTGTTTGTTTGTTCTATATGCATCCGCATGTGCACTTTGTGGGCCTTTGTTTTGGTGATTTTATTTGTTATTGTGGAATTAGAGCTATCGTCACACTCACAAATTATCCGTATGTTTAAAAAGTAACAAGTGATTGAAATATTATTTTCAACCATAAATACAACAAATTGTGTTTAGAAGGCATTTCGTGTTCTTTAATTGTTTTGAATTTTCCCCATCACTGCTGAAACTATCAGATTTGTGTCTATTCATTCTTTTTGTTGCATTTTGTTTCCACAATATATCTGTTTTCCCCTCAGAAATAGTCAACTTATCATAGCATCCAGTCTGAAGAAGATGGTAACTTACTTCATGCAATTGGACATTCAAAGGTTTGCTTTTAATCAGGCATGTTTGAATGTTTTCTTTGCAGTTCCATTGTTTGAATTGCTACAAATTAACACCGGATATGACATTGCATATTATTGTTTCTATTTTCTTTTGTAATCTTTTCTATACATTGTTCATACATTCCAAAAATACACGACAAGTATAAGTAACATTTGCTTCCTTTTATTTTTCAGGATTGAGATCTTTAAGTTCTATACATTTAAACCTTGTGTTCAGGAATTTTTAACAGATAATAAAGATTCAATAATGGGATCCTCTTTCAAGTGAAGTTCAATAATTTGAAAGGGGCCCAATTTTATTCCACCATGTGCATTTTTTACTGAACGGTTAAACATGAAGTACAAATAATTTTGAGTTATCTTGATTGCAGGCTGTGCTAATATTTTAAACTCAACTGCTGTATTATGTTTTTTTTTTTTAATTATCAATTTAATAGTTGTGTCTCTTTATTTGCTTGCAATTTTTCCTAAGCCACCTATTTGATTATTCAAATAATAAAATTTTGCTAGACACTCCAGGCTCAGTGAAAATTTGGGTTTTAAATTTGCAGAATGTATAGGTGGAGATAACAATGACCTAAAGTGGGACACCAAGTGTACCTTGAGGTTCTCCCTCATACACAAAAACACATAAACTTGAATCTGAACTAGGTATGTGGCAGAAGTTGACCATTCTCTCAGTGTCTTCACCTATTCAAGTTTCCAAGTGACCCTACCTTTTTTCTTACTTCCTTATGCCAAGATATGGTCTAAACCTAATGTCACAATGCACGATGCACAAGGAATTTGTCCGTAATGATTAGTGATTACTGCTTATGTTCTGTTTCTCTCCATCATCTAGCCAATTTATATGCACCTTCAGGCTTGTAATTACAAGTATAAATATAGATGGGAATCTTGTCCTCATTGGCCGCTATCAAAAGGAAAAGGTAGGTTACATGTCACATAAAAGGTTGTTTATCAATAGTACTATTATTTTATTTCTAATTTTAGATATAAGAATAAAAGTGTAGATTAATATTATTAAATTTCCATCAGAAATTATGCCGGATTATAGATGAAAGATTCCTTTTTGTCTCTCTCTTTAGCCCTATCCTGGTGTGAGGCATGATTGAATCCATTCACGTAGGGAGTTTGGATGTTAATATTACGTGAAATGAATATATAATGGTTGGGTTTAAACTCTGGTAATAACATATAAAGTAAATATAATAATATAAACAAAAGAAAAAGTTTAGACACCACTACCAGCCCCAAGGGCCAAGGCACTAGACCACACGTACTCAACAGTGATTCTTAGCACACTTCTTAAAGAAAAAGTTGTAGCCCCATGGAGGTACAGTTGCTTCTGTAAGCAACTATGCTGAACATGGTGAAAGAGAAATTTGATGCTGCTAAACTTGGCCAACCAGAATATAAGTGGTTCCCAACATGCTTTTTACTTCTTCTTTTTTAAAAAAAATGGCGGCGTTGCACCGTTAAATGTGGCCTTCAAGTGTATGGCTCCAAACAAGTAAACTAAACATCACTACATGTTGCTAACTTATCCATTCTTATTTAATGTGAGACTTCCTTCACTCTTGACATTCTAACAATTGTAATGTTAAATACATTAATATTTTAAAAGGCTGTAACAACATGTTTTTGTGCTATCAAGTTGTCACTTAACAATTATTAAAACTGCAAAATTTCTTGTGATTAGTATAATCATTTACAGAACATTTAAAATTACTACAAGATTTTATATAATTCATGTTATCACACACAAAAACCATGGCTGAAAACACTGAATTAGGAAGTGCTGCCTCATCGGATAGATGGTAGTGCAGTTTTTGCATGTGACATATCTTTATATTGAATTTGTAAGATTGTGAATTATCACTAACACGTATGCTATTTATTTTTTCTAAATAAATCATAGATGAATAAACTCCAAACATATTTGGATTCATGTTTAAATAAACATAAATTCATATTTACTAACACACTATTAATTGTAACTTTTTCTTTGAATCAATGTATTTTCAAACACACTTCTCACACGTCTGCCATTTATTTTTTCCTAGTTTTTATTGGACAAAATTATCAAGATCGAAAATAAAAATCTACTCACTATATTCAGGTGCTTGTTAAGAAGGAACTGCATTGGCCTTGTTATTCAAGCAATAAAATTGAAGGAACGAAATTCCATCCAAAAAATTTCAAATAGACCAAAATGACTTGTGAATTGATTCAATAAAGTTTACTAATTATATTCTACTTAGAATTGTCTTCAAACAGTTGAAAAATATAGAATTAATAATATTTTATGTTTTTGTTTGTAAGCAACAAGAGATGTCGTGACTGCACTTCCTCTTGGTTGGAGCAACAGGACACCTAAATACGTATTTTTGTGTTTTATGAAATGTTTTTGAGAATATATACAAAAAATAAAAATAATTGCATGCAATATTACATATAATATCAAAGTTAAACGGTTCTAATGAAAAAAATCGATACAAATAAGTAATGATAGTGACTAAACATTGTGAATTACACTTCGTTTGGGGATTATGAAAAAAGGAAATTGTTATTATTTAAATATGTTTGGTTGAATAGAAAATTAAGAAAAAAAATGATATTTTGATATAAAAATAATTTTATCCTTGTATAAAATAATATATTTTAAATTCTTATAAATATGACAAAATTTTAATTTCATTTTTATTAGTTTTATTTTTCATAAATTTTAAAATATTTTAAAACAGTATCTATTATTATTTAATGATAATATATAACTGCATCTAAACGTGTAATGCTAATAATCACTGTGAGGTAATTTGCAACATGATATATCTGTATACTTAACATGTCATTAAATTTAATCATATTTACAGAAGTTAAAAATATATTTTAACCTTTGTTATATTTGAGGAAAAAAAAGCATTTATAAATATTTTTTTTGTTTAAATATTAAAAACATTAACATGAATTTTTACAGTTGTTTTTAATTATATTAAAATGATATTTTTATTTAAATAAAAATATTATTACACTATTATATTTTTAATATAATAAATTGTTTTTAATAAAAAAATATGAATTTTAAACACTTAACATTGACCCATTTAATATTTACAGGCTTGTTGAAAAATTGAACCTATCTTCTTATTTTCTTACCTTTAGTGAAAAGAGGTTTTTATCAGATCCCACCTCTATAGTTCTTTCTAAACCCCCATTCTTTTGTCATCTCTCAAATGGGTCAAGTCTCACATCTTTCTTTCTTTCTAAATTTATAGAAACATACAAAGTCTTGGTTCTTTTATTTAGTGTGCAATGTGTGGAAGAAGCTAAAATTGAGAATAGGGAGAAAAATGTTAGAGTAACTACAAATTTGAGTAAATAATTAAGTATTTGACATTTAAATAAACGATTTAATTGAATTTTTATTAAATAAACAAAATTTATTCAGGTTTGTCATAACTTTTTTAATATAAAACATCATAAATTTTAATAAAATAGTTTATAAGAAGTTGTATGTTAATTTCATAAACAAATAATTTTTTTCTCAATATTTATTTATTTAATAAACTTATTTTAAAAGTGTTTCCATAAAAATGATTAAAACAACTTTAAAAATTATAAAAAATACAAGCTACTTTTATGAATTTAACCAAACTCTTATACATTCATAAAATATAATCAAACTTCATAAAAATCATAAAAGATAATTAAAAAATATAACAGGAAGATGAAAATGATATAAAAGAAATGAGAAAAAAAAACCCAGAAAAACACATTTTTGGGCAAAGGATACTGTACCAAACACAAGCAAATCCGAAACTTTATACATTAATAATTAACGGTGCAGATTTGTGACCTGTAAAAACATAAATAAGTTGAGTGAAAATCATTTTTATAATCGCAATTTAATCCTTACATAAATATTATAGGTTTGCTTTATTTGCAAAGAAATCAGTTCAAATGCTTTGCTGCTGGTAACTTTGCTCTTTCTCCTTCACTTTCTTACATCCGTGATTTCGATTTTTCCTCAGTGACTCAAATTCGCTGTGAATTTTTGTTTTTCTCCTTTTAAAGATGAACTCAAAAGTGTTCCTGAACTTGTTGGTGCAACCGTCGGCAAGTTGAAATTGTTTTTCAGGCAAACTTTGTTGTTTCCAAGTATTTGTCGATTATGCATCTGATAGCACACCATGTGGCATCCCTAGCCAGATTAGCACTATTGCTACAAGCTTTTCATATTTTGCTTACACATGTTTAACCTAAACTCTGTTCTTTTGAGCATTTATTCGTCTTTTTCATTCTGAGAATGTGTTTTTGGGTAATTTATGGTTGTTTTCATCTGCATTGGAATGGTGGTGAGGTTCCCCAAATATCACAGGTGGCTCAATTCAAACTCCACGTAGAAATTATATCTTTTAACAATTTTTCCCATGTTCGGCAGAACATATTTCGCACCGATTGCAAGGCTATTCCCTTTAAAACTTAAATCATATAATAAGATTTGACTTAAACTAAATATTAAATTGTTGAACAAAAAGGAACTAAATATTAATTCCATGTTATTTCTTTTATGTAAAATAAGGAGGAGTAAAGAGAAATATTTAAAATTACTTTTAAATTTGTACTCTTGAAATTAAGGGGGTACTGTATACTCACTTTCTTTAATATTTTCAAAATTAAAAGATATTTATATTTATTTAAATAAATCATTAATCGGATTATGTAAAGAGAACATAGAGTAGAATACCCTTCGTTTCAGGATGGCAACGTAGAATTTACCTTAAAAAAAATAACCCATTTTTGGCACACGTTGGCAGAGGACTGTTCCAGAAGACTCTTCTCATTTCTTGTGAAGTCAAGTTCGCAGCGCAGCACAGCACTACAACGTTAGAGCTATGGATCCTCAAACAGCATTAGAGCTTGTCAAGCACGGCGTCACTCTTCTCTTCCTCGATGTTCCTCAGTACACCCTCATCGCTATTGATACTCAGGTTAACATTATTCCTTTTCAAGTTTTTCCCTTTTCTTACTCTTGTCGATAACTAACTTCTTATTGTTGTTTCTTTTTAACATTGTTGTTGTCATGGTGTCTGAAAATAAAATTTGAAGTTCGTGTATGAAAAAAAACCCACCTTTATTGATTTATTTGAACTCTGTTTCGCAGTGACAATCTGACAAAATGCGTGTTCTGTTTTGTAGATGTTCTCAGTGGGGCCTGCTTTTAAGGGTATTAAGATGGTTCCTTCAGGCACTCATTTTGTGTACTATAGTTCATCAAGCAGGTTTGATCATGTTTCTCACACACCTTTGTCTCTTGTTTACTTCTAAAAGCCTATCTTTTCCTATTGATATATGTGGGTGCCTATTATTATCGATTCTTCATTTTTCTTTTTGGCTTCTTGCAGAGATGGAAAGGAGTTCTCACCAATTATTGGATTCTTTATTGATGCTGGCCCTTCAGAGGTATGTGATGAAACAAATCAATGGATCTATAAAAGCATCAAATTAAAGTCACATTAATTTTAATTCACCGAGCTTTGATTACATCCTTTTTCCAGTTCACAAATCGTGATTGACACTATAACTTAGTCATTTTTGTTTCTTGTTATTCTTCTTTTCTTTTTCTTCTTGTTTTTTCTTTTTTGCTCTACTTGATGTTCTTGTGTTTTGTTCTGCATGATTTTCGTTATTTTCTTTTTCTTCTTCTTACTCTTCTTTCGTATGTTACTTGTGCTATATTGTCTTGGTGTTCTATTTGATCTTGTTACTTTTCTTGTTTCTTGTTCTTTACAATGCTTCTTGTTCTTCTTCCCGGTGTTTCTTGTTCTATATGACCTCTTGTTTCTTCTTCTGCATGAGATGTTCCCTGTTTCTTGTTCTTGTTCTTCTTTTCTTCTTCTTATTTCTTGTATTGCATGTTTCATGTTTCTCCTTCTTGTTCTTTTTCTGCTTCTTTTGCTTGTTTCTTGTTTTTCTTCTTGTCACTTATCCTGCTTGTTTTGTGTTTTTTGTTCTTCTCTTCTTTTTCTTGTTCTTTTTTTGTTGCTTCTTTTGCATGCTTCTTGTTTCTTGTTCTGCATGTTTAATATTTCTTCTTTCTGTCCTGTGCATGTTTCTTGTCCATATTTCTTTTTTCATATTATTCTGCATGTTTCTCATTCTTGTTCTTTTGCATGGTTCTTGTTTCTTGCTCTTTCTCTTCTTCTGCCTTTTGTTATCCTTTTTCTATATGACCTTGTTTCTTGTTCTGCATGACATGTTTCTTCTTCTTCTGCATGATGTTCCGGTTTCTTGTTCTTGTTTTTCTTTTTCTTCTTGTTTCTTGTTCTGCACGGTTCTTCTTTTTGTTCTTTTTCTGTTGCTTCTTTTGCATGCTTCTTGTTTGTTGTTCTGCATGTTTAATATTTCTTCTTTCTGTTCCTGTGCATGTTTCTTGTTCTTTTGCATGGTTCATGTTTCTTGCTCTCTGTTCTTTTGCCTTTTTCTTGTTCTTTTTCTTTATGACCTTCTTGTTTCTTGTTCTGCATGACATGTTTCTTCTTCTTCTACATGATGTTCTTGTTTCTTGTTCTTCTTTTCTTCTTCTTGTTTCTTGTTCTGCATGTTTAATATTTATTCTTTCTGTTCTTGTGCATGTTTCTTGTTCACATTATTCTCCATGTTTCTCATTCTTGTTCTTTTGCATTTTTCATGTTTCTTGTTCTTTCTTCTGCATAATTCTCGTTCTTTTGCATGTTTCATGTTTGTTGCTCTTTATCTTCTTTTGCCTTTTTCTTGTTCTTTTTCTATATGACCTTCTTGTTCCTTGTTCTGCATGACATGTTTCTTCTTCTTCTGCATGATGTTCCTGTTTCTTGTTCTTTTCTTCTGGTTTCTTGTTCTGCATGGTTCTTGTTCTTTTGCTGTTGCTTCTTGTTTCTACTTCTGCATGTTTAATATTTTTTCTTTCTGTTCCTGTGCATGCTTCTTGTTCATATTTCTTTTTCATATTATCCTGCATTTTCTCATTCTTGTTCTTATGCATGTTTTGTGTTTCTTGCTCTTTTTCTTCTGCATAATTCTTGTTCTTTTACATGTTCCATGTTTCATGTTGCTTGTTGTCTTGCTCTTTCTCGTCTTTTGCCTTTTTCTTGTTCTTTTTCTATATGACCTTTTTTTTTTCTGCATATTTTTTACATCTTGCTTCTTGCTCTCTCTCTTCCTCTTCTTTGCATTTTTCTAGTTCTTTTTTAGTTTTTTTACATTATCTTGTTTCTTTTGCTGCATGTTTCATGTTTCTTCTTTTGCATGTTCTTTGTTGTTTTTCTTTTTTCTTGTTCTACATGATATTTTTGTTTCATATACTTCTTTTCTTCTTGTTTCTTGTTATATATGATTATTTTGATTTTTGTTCTGTAGGGTTCACGTTTCTTGTTCTTTTTCTTCCTCTTCCTCTTATTTTGCATGTTTCTTGTTACTTTTCATGTTTCTTCTTGTTCATTTTTTTCTACAGTATCTTGTTTTTTGTTCTGAATGTTTTGTTTCTTGTTCTTTTCTTCTTTTTCCAGGTGTTTCTTGTTCTACATGAAAACGTATCTTGTTCTTGTGGTGCATGTTTCTTGTTCTTCTTCTCATGGTTTTAAATTATGGTATGCAACAGTGCAATATCTTCTTCTTCTTCTTCTTCCCTCTTGGTCTGCATGTTTCTTGTTCATGTTCTCATGGCTTTAAACTGTGGTCTGCAACATTGCAATATCAAGATTTTTTAGATCTTTGCAATTGCACTATGGCTGTAATTGCAGTTGAATTGGTTGCATTTGTCTGCAATTTCACATGAGACTACAACTGTTATTGCATAAATTAATGCCAATCTCTCTGTAAAGCTATCAGAGATTCTCTTAAAAAGACCATAAGTAGAACATCAGAAAGAAGCTAGGAAAAATGTTTGATCTGTTAACTGTTGCACATCCATTTGAACCTGTTTATGGTTAATTTGTATAGCAACAAATAAAAAAAATTGTCAAACAATGATTATGTGGTTTGGTGTGCAGGTAATTGTTCGTAAATGGAATCAAAAAGAGGAAAAGCTAGTCAAAGTGTCTGAGGAAGAGGTATGTTTTTGTTTAAATATTATAAATTGATATAACACATTTATAATGCGGCAAATTGACATGATTGACATAATTTACATTCTGTTAGTCAACTTAGGTTATTGTGAGAAAGTATTTGAGAAACTTACATAAAGAAATTTTCATCTTTTATTTTATTTCACCCCATTCAATAACAATAACTTTAAGCCAGGCCGATAATATGCTGAGCTGCTTCACCAGTACAACCGAATCAACCACTTCTATCAGTCTTTATCTGCATGCTCTTGTTTTCATGAAATGTGATTTGACTTTATTGGTTTTTTCCCTTTCTCATGTAGCATTTGCTTTTATTGAAGTGAAAGATGGTTGATGTCATCCAATCACTTTGATGCTGAGGATACTAATCTCAACCAAGCCTGTTTTACTTTGAACTTCTTTCTTTTTCTAACCTTTTTTTCTCTGTGTTGAACTATTCTCTGTGTGTGTTTTGTTTCAAAATGCCACTTAGTTTCATGTCATTTGGGCATTAGAAAGTTCATCTAGAGCTAAATAAGAAATTTTGGCTCCAATGATAATGTTTTTAGCCTAAATGTTAGTTTCATACCCTTCAATTTATGTATATTTATTCTGTTTGCTTTTTCTTTAGGAGGAAAGATATAGTCAAGCTGTTAAAAATTTGGAATTTGACAGACAACTTGGCCCTTACAATCTTAACCGTTATGAAGATTGGAAGCGATTATCTAATTTTATTACAAAGAGTGTCATTGAACGGATTGGTATGATTTTTTCTTGACTGAGGTGTTCTTTGTGTTAAGTAGTTCATTGATAAGTTAACATTGTATATTGTTAATTTACGACCAGAGCCCATTGGAGGGGAAATTACTGTTGAATGCGAAAGTGACATGGTTAGAAACACTCCTAAAACACCAATGGAGGAAACACTAGACAATCAGTTGAAGGTTGGCAATTCTGTAACATCTGTTGGCAAGACCCAGAGGAAAGGATGTTATTATACTTCAATTCCACGTATTGTAAAATGCAAGGGGGTTAGTGGGCAGGAACTTACTTCTTTGAATCTTGACAAGGTAGCATTATTAACATACTATTGAATCCTGTAACCATTAATCTTACCTTAAAACTTTAACCTGTCGTTGTTTTCTGATTGCGCATGTTTCTTTGGTGCCCTTCTCAGACACAGTTGTTAGAAACTCTTCTGGCAAAAGATTATGGAGGTTCTGAAGAATTGCTTCTTGGAGAACTGCAGTTTGCATTTGTTGCCTTTTTGGTATTGTGGACAACATAGATTCTGTATAAATTTGTTGACCTGGTTAAATCCAGTATGACATTTTGCAATGGTGCAGATGGGTCAATCATTGGAAGCATTTCTCCAGTGGAAGTCCTTAGTCAACCTTTTCTTTGGCTGCACTGAAGCAGTAAGTATAACTTTTCCATCATATCCGAACTGAATAATGCATGCATATAATTTTGCACGGCTTTTGAGTTTCTGGTTTCTTTTTGTATGTTTGACTGCTTTTCCACCGTACAAAGTCAATATGTGATATATATGAGCCAGTAATACTTAATGATTAATGGCTTCAGCTTTAAGTCAAGTGGTTCTACAATGAGTACTTTGTGTTTTGTTAGATGCTTGTTTGGTATTTCGACTTGTTGGATCAGTTTGTTAAATTCTTCGTTCCAACTTTGATTCTATGGGCTTTACCATTTTGCTCTAGCATCTTTTGAGATTTGTACATAAGAATTGTCATTTTCTTTTGTTTACTTTTTATGGATTTTCTGCTATATATATATATATATTATTTTATTTTTTTAATTTTTTTATAAACATTTTTTACTTCTTTCTTAGGACATTTTATGGTGGTAGGGCCTAGGTTATGACTGCATATGGATACACGATACTTATTATGGTAAGATATCTAGTATGGGATAGCTTAGGTTCAAATCAACTTGGAAGTTATATTATTTCATAATATGTTTCGTCTTATTGTATTTGCATGACTTTGTATACTCTTTTGCAGCCTTTCCATACACGAACTCAACTATTCACAAAGGTAAATTTTATTAATGTATTTTCTTTCCTTTGTTTCTTTTCAATACAAAATAGTGGCATTAATTTATGAGTGCTGTTAAATTCATCCTTGATTGTAATAGTTTTGAATGTAGTCTAGGAACAGAAAGCAACTGATTCTGAATTGAGAAAATGAGATCTTGAATCTTATGGCGTATTATTCATCAAACTCCTTTCAATGATGAAAATCAGAACTTTGAGCCTCACTTTTTTGGTGGTGTGGGAAATGGAAGCCAGGGAAAGTAAAATAAGTTCTTTTAAATTAACAATATCCATACCTAAAAAGAAAGAATTGTTCAGCAGTTTGGTATTTGAATGAATGTAATAATTAATAGATAGCACTTAACAAAACATTAAGGAATCTATAAAGTAATTCAAGAGTGTACGGCAAATACTGAAATATATTATTGTCCCAAAATTTAATATGCTAGGTACTTGGCATTATTTTATATTTTCTAATTTTTCTTCCTTAACTATTTGTAGCACAAGTTAGTACTTAGATTTTTTGTACAATAAAGTAGATTGGCTGTTTTTATTGGGCTACTGTAGCTTCTATTTTTCATGATATATTTTATATATAATTTTTAAAGATGGTCTAAAATTATTGTACTTGCTCTCTGGTGTGCTGTTCATCTTTCGTCACTGAACTTCTATTTAATATTTCATGGACTATTGTAGTTCATTAAAGTCGTGTATTATCAACTGAAATACGGACTACAGAAAGATCACATGGATGAAACAGGATTGACATTGTTGGATGATTCTTGGCTTTCTGCTGATAGTTTTTTGCACCATCTTTGCAAGGTATTTTGGCGATGTTAGCTTTATTCAAATGTTCAAATTTGATCTATTAACCGGCTTTCTTATATTAAGAAACTAGACTGGTTCCTGTTCTAATGGAAGCCAAATGTACAAGTAGTTTGATTGAACTCAGGAAAAGATAGGAATGAAGAAGGGGTTACACCAGAAAATGGTTAACTTCCTACCCCAGTGCTATGCTGCTCAAAGAAAAAAACTCTACCCAAGCTAGAAGCTGAATGGAATAACAAAAAAAAATCTCAGCCCTTGCATCTCACTCCACCTATATAACTACCCGTCCAGTATTTGTGTGTCTTCATGTCTTGGCCCAGTCTATTAGCATAACAGATTTACATTCCTACTGGCATCTGCATGTGTGTTTCTAGAATAGAACAATTATTGCATACTGATAACAAAACATTACATGTTTTGTTATGTCTGCCTTAGGATCTTTCAGAATTGATAAAAGCTTAAAGATGTTTCTGTGGGAACTCCAGCTTCCTAAAATCTTTTCTAGTCCACCTGCTCAACATAAATGGGGTGAGAAGATGTTAGTGTATGTGTATAGTTTTAGTTTTTTAATATTTTAGGTGACAGTTGTCACCGTGGTCCCTAACTAAATTAGGGAGAAGCATGTAGACTTTCCTTTCTTGTATCCTTTATAAATAGCAGACTTCTATCTGTGTTGTATTGGGCCGAACTTCTCAATAAATCAGATTTACATTTTCTCTCAACTCCTTTTCTACTCTACATTTTTCTGCTCATGGATTTTAATATGGTATCCAAAGCTTCTGACCCTGAACCATAGCTTTGCTATTTCAAATTCACATCTTGTGAATCGAATAACTCTAGTTCGTCTGAATTCAATATTTGTGCTGCCATGGAAATTTCATTGCCATGAGTGCAGGATTCTTTGCTAGAAACTTGTGTTCTTCCAGAAACTTGTGCTCACCCCACCTGCATTGGAGTCACGTTCCTCTTTTGCTCTCGACTCACATTCTCGCGTCTACTTTCTATTAAGTTGGATGAGAAGATTTTTTTTTAGAGTGAAGGAATAAGTTGAAGGCATCATTTGTGGTCATAAGTTGCATCATTTTGTGATGAATCCACCAATTCCACACTCAGCACATGGCAAGTCTCATTGATTTCTAAATCTTTTCTTCCACGAGTTGTGAAATGCCATCATTCATGGAAAATTTGGGACGAAATTGAAAGTTACTTTCACAATTAGCCTAAGGCACAATCCAGACATTGATATCAATCAGCCACTGCAAATTCGTGTAATCATTGATGCCTTATTGTCTATTGGTGATCAAGTAAGCCACAGAAATGTTTTCAAGATCATTTTTGAAGCTTTACCTAGTGAATATGATGTTGGAGCTGCTGTCGTTAGTTGACTTGATGTGTTCTATGGAGGAACTTGAAGCCATGCTATTATTCTCTGAGGCTAAGATTGAGAAGAATCAGAAGAATGTAGTCATTAAATCACTATTGATGAATCTCACTCAAGAATTTCCTATCACTCTGTCTCAGCCTCAGCCCAATCTACCTCTCACTTCACCTTTTCTTGAAACTCAATCTGAGTTCAGATACACTGAGCAACAGAATCAGCACAATAGTACTTTTTCTGCTCATCATGGCGGCCCTTTTAGAGGCCTTGGTGGTTGTTTTGGTCAAGGTAGAGGTCATGGCGGCAGGTTTTACGTTCAACACCTGATCTGTCATAAGATGGGCCATGCTGCTAATGTGTGCTGGTACTGAAGTACTAATATTCTATTCCTACTCCAAATCAGTTTAGCTTCTGGTCGAATTCATGGCAACAACCAGGAGTACAACATCATTCTCAGTTTAGGCTAGTGTTTCCTCCAATTTATGGTGAAACTTTTGGGATGAAGTATTGTTAGGTAACTTCCATAAGTGTAGTTAGTTATGTTAGTTAGGGACTCATTAGTAGTTAGTTACAATATATTAGTTAGTTTGTTTGATTTGTTACTAGTTGGACAGGTTGAGATTGTAGAAGAAAATAAGGCATATTTCCTCCATAAATAAGAGGGAGGTAGAGAGAGAGATAGGGTCTATGGTTTAGGAGGTGCAGCCCCACAAAGAATTGTTGAGTGTGTGTGTTTACTTTTCAGTAAGTTGGGGAGTTCCTCCTTGTGTTTCCTAATTAAGATACCAAATTTCTGTCAGCGCCAAACCTAGATGATCAGAGGTCAACTTCAGGATCTGGTGTGTATTTTGGTTTGAATCTTGTCTCATGATGGTCCAGAAAGCAGAACCTTTTAGCACAGTCTAGTCCTGAGGCTGAGTATCATAGTCTTGAACTCACTGCAGCAGAGATCATTTGAATTTAGTCACTCCTATCTGAAATACACGCTACTGGCCCAACTCCCAACAATTTACTCTGACAGTCTCAAAACAGTATCTCTATCTCACAATTCTTTCTTTCACTCTCGCACAGAACATATGAAGCTAGATCTCTTCTTTGTTATAGAAAAGGTTCTCAACAAGAGTTTGATTGTTTGTCATATTCCAACTCAAGAACAGTATGCTGAAATTTTGACTGAACTTCTAACTTCCCTTCAGTTTATAGAGCTTCTCTCCAAACTTAGGGTGTTTGATAAGTTGAACAGTCCACCCTATTCTTCTATGGGGAAATGTTAGTGTATCTGTGTAGTTCAGAGCTTTCGATTTTTGCAAACTAGTTGCCCAAAGTTTAGTTTGTTTCTTCTAATACTAATTGAATATATTTTTTATGATAGAAATTTGATATGCTTAGCTGATTTCAAGTGCAACATATGTTTTTTGGTTGTTTTGAAATTGCAGGATTTCTTTTCGTCATTGCTAGATGGGTCAGTTGTTGATGGAGATCTTTTAAAATGGGTATAAGCACTGAACCTAATTATTCTTTTAATGATATTATAGATATCTATTCTCCACCTCCACCTGCCACACAGACAAAATCCCAATAAGGCAACTTCAGTATTGGCTGAATGTGCTTGGAATGTATTATGCAATATCCACCATGAAAGAAAACTACCTTATTGGTCCTCAAAATTATTTGAGTAAAATTTTGCAATCCTGAAAACTTGTTACTGTGATGTGTTTAATTAACTCTAAAATAAATCTTTTGTCAACACTTCAGAGCACCTTAAACACACACAAAAGCTTGTTATGCAAAAGGGTTTAGAATGTTTTGCAAAATGTAATGCTTTTATTATTATTCGCATCTGTTAATCACTGTCTCTGTTTCCTGCTTGATTATGTCTGCTTTGAAAATTGTTGCAGAGTTACGGCATTTGGCGCTAACTACTATGTATTTGATTATCTAAGAAGAGGACAAATTGAAATGTTATCTTTCTCTCCTTGCAGACAAGGAAATTGAAGGAGCTGTTGGAGAGCAATCTAGGGTGGGAGTTTCAGCAGAGCAGTGCTGTTGATGGGATATATTTTGAGGAGAATGATGAGGTCAGTAAGTATATGAATAAAGAATGTATCTGATATTCTGAGTTCCTTTGCTCTGTGTAAGTGTGTGTTGATGCCTTCATGGACCTTATTGGTTCATTTTGCAGTTTGCTCCTGTTGTAGAGATGTTGGATCACGAAGCTTCAGCAGGAAATGTGGAACCAAATCATTAGAGTATCACGACACTATAGGCATGACCAAAACCTCACATTGTACAGTGAAATATACTCGAATGAATTCATTTTAAGATCATGATCCATTTTAAATAGAATCAAGAAGATATTCTTTAGTTCATATAATAACATTCTCGGTGTACTCATTTTGTTGATGTATATATTTATTAAACCTTTTTGTTTTTGTCAGAATATATTTATTAAAACTAAACGAGTGTAAGATGTCAAAAAGGATGTCCTCATGTTGTAAAATACAGAATATCATAGTTGGCCAAAACATAAGGCAAATAAAACATTTGCTTTTAATTTAATCAATGGTTTTTTGGATTTTTTTTTTAAATACCGGTCTTAAGAATGTAGCTCATCAAAAATTGAGTTTTGCTAATTTTTAATGTTCTTATTTAATTGGAGCATTGTGTTAATCATTCAAGTGCCTATATATATATATATATATATATATAAACTCGTTTATTAATTTAAATAAAAAATATTTAATAATTATTTAACAGATTTAATTGTAAATTTGTAGTTGAATATTTCACATCACCTATAAATGTTGTCAATATTAATGATTTATTTGAATAAATGATGAAATAAAAAGATAAAAGATATAGTAAAACTACAGTGAAAAATTATGTATTATTTTAGTGGATGAAAATAAGAAGGAAGAAAATGAAAAAAAAAATATTTATTTGTATGAGTAGAAAAGAAAGAGGAAAAGTATCATATATATATATATATATATATATATATATATATATATATATAACCAAAAATTTATTTTAATTTTTTATAATGTATAAAAAGTTAGTATTAAAATTAAATAATTAAAAAAAAACATTGTTCCTTCCCTCTCATTTCTCATCAATTTAGTGAAAAATTTATTTTGAATAAGTCACGTCACCTTTTTCTCTCTCTAATTCTCCTCTCCAACCAAGCACCTAAAAACCAACTTAAGTAAGTCAAATTCACATGAACATTTACAATGTGCCATCTTTGCTTGGGGTACTCATCTTTCATCCCCAACAAATCATTGCTTTAAGATACATATTTTTAAATCAAGTGTTTTATATCATGTCGTATTTGAAATTTTCACAATCTCTATAAAATTATGCCACCGTATCTTGGATGTGATTATATTATTTTTTAAAATAAATTAGAATAGACCCATTTACTGAGCTTTTATTGTGTTAACAAGTTTTTTTTATCGATAAATTTTGTAATATTAAGTGTGATATTTATGATTTTTACGATATTGCACTTTTATTTTATTTTATTTTAAGTCAACATATTAATTTTTATTTGAATGACTTTGAACCTTTAAATAATAGATGAGTTAACTAGCAAGCATTTTTTTCATTGTTAGGTGAGTATGTTTTATTGTAACTTTAAAATAAATTAAATATGATTTTCACAACAAAGAAAAATAATTTTTTATTTTTTATAAAATCAAATCAAGAAAAAATAACAATATAAAATATTACAACATAATTTTTTGTAGTTAATACTTAAATAATATTCTAAAATAACATGTTAAAAAATAATTTATAAGATTATATAAACAATAATTGTTACTGTAATTTAATAATTATTAATTATACAGATAAAAAATAGATAATATATGTAATTTAATGTTATAATAAATTATTATATTTTATTTAATGATAATAATTTATTTTAAATATTTAATATTATATAAATTTATTTTTTTATCTATTTTTTAGCAATTTTATTTATTTACAAATTAATAGTTAAAAATAAATTATATAAAATAAATATTTTTAATAAATCATTCAATAAAGTAATGTAAGATCATCCTATCAAAAGTGAGTTAAAATAATTTTTTAAAAGTAATTAGTCCATAAAATAGCTTCAAGAAACTTAATTCTATAGAATTTCATTTTTAACTTTTTCTATAACAGACGTTTTGACTTTTGAACTCTCTGACTCTAATCCACAAAAGTTAGTGCAGTTTGACAGCTCAACTTAGAATCTTAATCATAATGAAAATTAAAAAACGTTACCTAATTGTATTACAAAGAGCATCATTAAACGGATTGGTGTGGTATTTTCTTGACTGAGGTGTTCGTTGTGTTAAGTAGTTGATTGGTAATTTAATATTGTATTAATCTTACCTTGAGAGTTTAACTTCTTTACCCTGAGAAGACACAGCTGTTAGAAACTCCACATATCCAGATTGAATAATGCATGCATGGATTTAGAGTTTCTGGTTTCTTTTTGTATATTTTGACTGCTCTTCCACCGCACAAAGTCATATATATGAGTCATTCTAATGCCAAGTGATTTTAGTTAATAAACCCAGAAGTCTCGTGGTTCTTTCTATATTCAATGAGTACTTGTGTTTTCATTTGTGTATTTGATTATCTATGAAGAGGAAATATTGAATTATTATCTTTCTCTCCTTGGAGACAATGAAATTGAAGGGGCTATATAGAAAATAGAAAATTCTTTTTGTTGCTCTATATTTAAAGGTTATGCACCAAACATTGACGTGACCGGTCATGTTATGTAGATATTAAAGTGATTCATTATGCTTGGCATTAGGCAAACATTTTTAAGTAGTGGAATGGAAAACAACATAAAGATCAAAATAATGATACTTTAATGTAACTTTATTTACAATGTTTTTTAAGACTTTAGCAGTTACGTAAGGATTTTTTAAGTAACTAGATAAGGATTTCTTTTACGTCTATGCATGTTTGGACAGATTTTCTTTTTCATGTGAGAAATTTTTATTATTTTTAAATTGCTCTCACAAAACTATAAAATATAAATAGTCATTTGAAAAAAAAAAAAAAAAGCTGTACAAAGCATGCATTAATGCCAAATAAGGTTTTATTTTTTTATTTTCTCACATCAACATAGCATTTAGTACCTATTTGAATCACAATTAAAAATAAAGGAGCCACTTTTCAAAGCAAATCCAGCTAAAATTAATTTACTCATGTTTTACTATGTACATCGGGTTGAAGTGAGTACTTTTTGTGAAAAGGGTGTTTGAAAGTAGAATAAATTTAATTTATTTATTTTTGTCTACAATTTTTTAAATGAATTAAATTATTAAATATTATATATTTTATTAAATAATGATTTTATAAAATAGCAAAAAATATATAAAAAAATTATAATATTATAAAGTTCTTGAAAATAATACCCTTAAGATTACATGGTGCAAGAAATGTGATTCAGCCTGTGCTGTGAAGTGGGTTTTGAATGTTTGTGCCTTTTACTCATTCGTTCGTTGTGTCTCAATTATTCATTCCATTAATCAATTGTGAGTTAGAAACCAGCAGTCGTTTAATTTAAAGTTGAATATAATTTATTTTAATGAAATCAATTTTGAGACATTAAGTATAATTAAGATATATACATAATACATGATTAATTTGAATTACACTTTTTTTTTTATTAGAATATATGTTTTTAACTAAAATATTTTTTTAAAACTTTTAAACAAAAAAGTCTTGAATTTTGCGATGCGATACTCTCATGATTTGGGTGAGTAAACAGAATAGAGAAAATATTTGGTACATATGCAGTATGCACCTAAAAAGCAATAAGAATTGAAGGAGAAAAATTTTTAGTGATGTAAGTGACAGAAAAGCAATGACGACAAATCTAACGATACCGTTGAAATATCTATAATTTAGAATACAAAATTTATTAGATTCTTCATAGGTTGGCAAAAAATTTTAAACATAATTAAACATCAGATAAATCTTTTCATTCTCTTTTCTCAAAAAAATCAATCTTAATTTAAACTTTTCAACATACTATTACATATTTTTTAATTATTTATTAGAATTTATTTAAAAATACAAAAATACGTGAATTCTACTTTTCTTTTTACTTTAAATTAATATATTTAAAAGAGTTTGTTGCTAGTATTAATCTGAAGTTGATTCTTTGTTGATGACCCTGTTGATCATTTCTTGGTAGCTATTAATTGTTAAAATATAATAATTAATGTTATTTATATTTTATAATGAAAGAAAAATAGTTTAAAGAAAAAAATGTATAAATTAAAATAAAGATATAGCAGTGGAATAAAATGCTGTGGGATTAGTATAGTTTGTACTGAAAAGTTAGTAGACTTTGGGAGTTTTGATTGGATTGAAGCAGTGCCTTGAATCATGCTTTTGTTTTGATTTTAATTAACGTGCGTTTAGTATGTGCCTCTTGTTGGGGTCAAATCCAATAGCATTTTCCCCCACCGCATATAAGAAAATAATAATATTGTATAGTCCATCAATCGTGTGTTTCACTTTTATATTTTCCTACAATTTGATGTGTCTATTTTGATTATAAAATGAAACATTGTTTTCCAATGAAAATGATCACTCAAACATGTTTGATAACTTCTAAATTGGACCTTTTTGAGAGAAATAAACATTAATCTTTCTCTTTTAGTGTTTGATTCCAATTTTTTAGGAAAATAGCTCAATATAGTTAAAAAGAATAAACATTGTATTATAACGTGTGCAATATTTTGGACAAAGTATTTCTTACATTTTTTATGCAATATTATATATCATGTAATACTTTTAATAATAGTTATATTTTACATCATTATTATTATATAATTGTTCTACAAATCTACTTATTATTATCTAAAAGGTTTACTTAAGTGTTTAAATTAATTAAACATAAAAAGAATAAGTGAAATATAAATTTAAAAAAAGTAATTAAGGATAATATAAAGCAAAGACATGTCATGAAAAATTAAATATCATTTATAAAATATAAAATCACAAATCTGATATATAGAAGAAAAAAAGTAATTTTGTAAAATAAAACACAAAATAGTGTCGCTATTTAATTTGTCCGACTACAAGACATCAGGTTAAAACTAAAATAATACACGTGTATTTTAAAAGATCTAATATAACACGTAGATCAACAAAAATAATATTTTTCTAATTTAATTTGTGGAAATTTTTTTATTGTGTTTAGTAGTTTTATTCAGTTTAAATAAAATTGTTTTTAGTAGAAGATATATCTAGTCTAAAAAAATTAATACATGAAAAATGACTGTCTTAAAGTGATTAGTTTTTAAACAAGTCATCTTTTGAGATTGAAATAAATTGTTTTAAAATAAAATAAACCAAAAGTTAAATGAATTTGCTGACAAGAGTTAACTTAAATATTAAAAGGATTATATTAACAACTTATAACTTTTAGATATATTTTAAGAAAACTATAATTAATTTAAGCTTTTTTTTTCTTCTAAAAAGCAAATAGTGTGTTATAAGTTATAAATACTAACTAACATATCTGTTTATTTTAAAGTCGAAAAATATTAATGAGATTCATTTTTCATTGTATTTTAACTAATATTATATATATACGGTTTTTTTAAATATATATTAATAATATACTTGACAAAAATCCTAACTAGTATATGTAGAAAAGCTTGAGTGCATTATTAAGTATGAATGACAAGGGGCAATCTATGACAGCATTTAAGGCTTCCAAAACAAAGTCAACTAGTGTGTGTAACCCTCAAAATAAATGGATTAATCCCCATGTCAATGTCAATGTCAATGTCAATGTCAATGTCAATGTCTGGCATTAGGGTTGGCAGTGGCACTCTTTGATGAGCATTATTTGGGATTGTAGTTTGGATCAACCAAGTGGAAATTTTAGTATTTGCTATTTGGGCATTTGTTATGCCTTATAATTCACCCCAAGCAACTCTTTCTTATTTCTCTCGCTCAATGTCAACCCATAAATTAACTACAACAACTTTTCTCAACATAATACCAAAACTACCATGATCATGCCTTGCCCTGCAATGTCAAACCCCCAACCACAACTCTTTTATTCACAAATGAAAGAAATACAAGAAAAACTCTTTGTTTAAAAAAAAAAAAACAAATAGTTTTCCTTTTTGTATTTGTTTCTCTTTTTGTTTTATTCTTAACACATCTTTGTGTTATTTCATAAACAATAAGGACTTTTTTTTCTTTCCAAGTCCCTTAATTAATATTTATTTTGTGTACAGTCTTCCTATCAACCTTACCCTTCTTCAATATATTAATAAAATATGCTCAATAATAAACTGTGGTCAGATTTTGCAACTTTGGTCAATATCACTTCTGTCAAATGCAGTAAAACGTTTATACAACTGCTGTGTTACTTAACTGTTTATTATGAATAATTTACAAGTACACTTAACAATGTTAGATAGACACTTCTTATCTAAAGAAATATTCGAATGAAAAATAATAAAAATATAAACAATGTTATATAATTATAAATAAAGAAAAATATTAAATATTAAATAAGTATTGATACAATTGAAGTTTTTATAAATTAAAGTTACTTAATTTATGAATATTTTATAACAACTTCATTACAAATTAATTACCAATGTGATTGGGCAGAGTGGTAATAAATTACAACCTTTACATTGAAAACAAAAAAAACAAAAAATTACAAAGAAAAAGCCTAAGTGTTAAGGAACTTTTAACATTTATGGTCAAACGTTTTATTATATTGCATCCTAACATTTAGCATAAAGAATCGTTAAGCACTTTAAGCATACCATATTATCTTGAAAACTCTCGATGCATTCACACCATGAATTGTGGGTCACCATTTTAATATCAGGGAGATTAGTCAGCATCCAAAAGACTTTGAATTGTCTTTTGGGTACAAAAGGGCATTGAACTTTCACAGGCAACTCTCTCTGGCTGGTCCAATGGTTCTAAATGAATCTAACGGTTGAGAATGGTTGTGATCATGCAAAGTTGTCGTTTAGACAAGAGAGACATCTAGCATGGCAACAAAGAGTAAGGATAAGCTTGAGCCTGTGGATCCCACAAAAAAAATAAAAGGCAAGCATGGAATCTATGAAATATTATGACATCATGGTTCCACTTGCTTATAATATAATGAATCTAACCAAAGGCAAACTCAAACTGTTGTGTCAGGTCAACCCCGTTGTGGTTTTGTCTTTGTATAGGGTCAAAAGTCAAAATCATGAAGTTTCCAAGTTGATAAACACATTCACACACAAAGCAACTAGTCCTTGGGACTGAAAGCCATTGCATTCAATATAGGGCGGTTTAAATCTGCGGATGACAGCTAACCTTCATGTGGAAATAGCGTTGCTTTCACACTTGCATTTTTGTTTTTCATCCTTTTTCACGGGTTCAATCTTCCTTTTCATTTTCCTTTTCCTTTTCCTTTTTCTTTCCCTTCTGCCACCATCATCTCCATCACTTTTCACATCTTGTTACTCTCTCACTTTGGTTCTGCTCATCATCCCTCTCTGGCTGCTTTAATTCTGTGTTCTTCAGTTTTGTCTTCATGGGGTGTTGCTTCAGTGCTAGGATCAAAGCTGAGAGCCCTCCACGAAATGGTAACGTTCTTGCATGTGTTCTTTTAAGGCTTCTTTGCTTACCCTTTTGCTTAAATTTTTCATCTTGATAAGCTTTTGTGGATGTCTCTATCTCTGGAGTAATGGTTTCTGAATGCCCCAACTTATGGAATATGGGTGCTTCTTTTGGCTGTTTCAGTGATGGAAGGAAAGGAATTTATGTGATTTTTTTTTTAATTTTCTGTCTGTTTTTGAAGCATGACTTGCAACACATGGGGACTTGCTTTAATTGATTATCATGCGTTTGTCTGGTGCTTTTGCTGATGAGTTATGTCATGTAGTATTTGATGAAGACAGACAGAGTAAATAGAAGTAGACAATAAATGGAACTGTGGTAATGGTTCATAGCAAAATATTGTGAAAAGAGTAAAAAAAAATTTGGAATTTTGCTAGAGCCACTCCTTGCATCAGGATTTTCTCTGTCTTCAATTTAATCTTGCTTTGTTTTAATTGTTAAGAAGAAATCTGGGATGAGATTCAGTGTTTAAAACCTTTCAACCTGTGCAATGCTGGGGGAACTAAACTTATGTAATTTCTTAAGTGCTTGACCTTTTCATGCTCTTCTTACAACAAAAAATGTAGTGGATAATTGGTAGAAAAATTGTTGTCTTCTCTGTGCACCCTGACCCTTATCTTTCTATTCAAGCATTAGCTGAGTTTGTGATTAGATTAGAGTGTTTGTATATGGCCTGAAAAGTGGATCAGATTTTGTTTTCTGGATATGCGCAGGTTTGAATTCCAAGGATGATGGCTTGAGCAGCAAGGTCTCCACCCCCTCAGTGCCACCAACTCCACGGACGGAGGGTGAGATCTTGAAGTCCTCCAACATGAAGAGCTTCACCTTTGGTGAGCTTAAAATTGCTACTAGGAACTTTCGTCCGGATAGTGTGGTGGGTGAAGGTGGGTTTGGTTGTGTTTTTAAGGGGTGGATTGATGAGCAGTCACTTGCACCAGTTAGACCAGGGACTGGAATGGTCATTGCTGTGAAGAGGCTTAACCAAGAAGGTTTGCAGGGACACAGTGAATGGTTGGTGAGTGTCATTTAGTAGGGCTTATTTACAATTTGGAACTTTGCTTAAAGCCTGAGAATTTTAGATACAGTTCCTTTTTGAAACTCGGAAAAATGTCAAATTATTTCATTAGGATTTTTTTAAATTTTGTTTTCTTTTGCTGATGTGTGTAACACGTAATTAATATTTTAGACAATTTCTTCTTTTGGTGTAATTAATTAGCCTTGTGCAATAGACAGAAATCAATTACCTGGGGCAGCTGCATCATCCTAATCTCGTGAAACTGATTGGTTACTGCTTAGAGGATGACCAAAGGCTTTTGGTGTATGAGTTTTTGACCAAAGGAAGTTTGGATAATCATCTGTTTAGGAGTAAGTTGTTGATTTCCTTCCTTGTTTCTCTACGGGGTGACATTGTTTAATTCCTCAAATACCTCAAAATCTCAATAATCTATTCTTTTTGGAACAGGAGCTTCTTATTTTCAACCACTTTCTTGGAACATCCGTATGAAGGTTGCTCTTGATGCTGCTAAGGGTCTTGCATATCTTCATAGCGATGAAGCAAAAGTGATATATCGAGACTTCAAAACTTCAAATATCTTGCTTGATTCAGTAAGCAAATCTCAGTGATCTTATATTTTACTAGTTTACCTGCTTTTCTAACATTCCTTTTTGTTGATGACAGGCTTACAATGCAAAACTTTCTGATTTTGGCTTGGCAAAGGATGGACCAGCTGGTGATAAGAGCCATGTCTCTACAAGGGTAATGGGCACATATGGCTATGCCGCTCCTGAATATATGGCCACAGGTACCTAAGTTTGTTGAGTACTTAGCTTATGATTAATTGGTCATACCATAATTTTACATTTTACATATAATATAATCCAGTCTTCTAAATTATTATCCACCACCCACCTAGAAGAAACTCTTATTAGTTCTTTTTCAAACCACAGTGGAGCCTTTTAGCCTCTTTTTCTCCATTCACTGGCAATTAACCATTGCACACCACTGCACATTTCATCTCACAATTATACCTTAAATTTTACTGGATTAGTGTTTGGGCTAGAGGTTAACATCTGTATCATTAGTTGACTCATTAAGAAAAAGATATATCATCATCCAATGTGAACTGAGCCGTATTTAGTTTTCACTTGCTCTCAACATTGTAACTCAAAAAATTGGCAGGGTGAAATTGACTAGAGAATTTCATTCTGCTAATAGAAATTCACACGTCTTCCAAAGATACACCTCCCCGTGGTGGATACACAGTTTTTAAAAACATGGAGCATGACTCGGAACTAGTATAAATTGACATAAAACACTAATCATAAATCAAGAGAGGGAAATGATACTTCAAAATGAGCATGAGTCATTATAAACACAATAAAACGCTATAACTTTACCATAATATTCTCATCTCTATTAGTATAGCACTTTAAAACTCAGAAGCAAAAACAAATTATATCTGTATGAACATGTGTCCTACATGAGTATGACATGAACACAGCTACTTTTTAAAACTCTCCATGCTAAACAGCTGCATAAATGAATATCAACTTCAAAAGTTTCTGTATGTGTTGCCGGTCTTCATTCAAAAGTTTCTCTAAGTTCTCTAACTGCTTGCCAAAAAAAGCAATATATTTGAAAATTTGAAGTCCCTTTTGAGTCCTAACAAGAATAAGAGTTAACCCAAGTTTTTCTCTTTTTGTGAAGGTCACTTAACCAAAAAGAGTGATGTATACAGCTTTGGGGTAGTTCTCCTTGAAATCATGTCTGGAAAACGTGCACTTGACAACAACAGGCCATCTGGGGAGCACAATTTAATTGAGTGGGCCAAACCATACCTCAACAGCAAACGCAGGATCTTCCAAGTCATGGATGCACGCATTGAAGGCCAATACACATTGCGTGAAGCAATGAAAGTAGCTAACCTTGCAGTTCAATGCCTATCTGTGGAACCAAGATTTAGACCAAAAATGGATGAAGTGGTGAGAACATTGGAAGAACTTCTGGATTCTGATGACAAAGCTGGCGAAGGAAGCTCAAGAGGTCAAGCTGTCAAAAGGAATGGCCATAGCTCAAGTAGCAGTGGCCCAAGACAACACAGAAGTAAACATCATCGTGAAACAACAGTGACACACAAGTAAAAATGAATGCTGATTTAATGCTGTGGGTGTCTGATTTTGCTCGATTTGGTATCCTGTATATCATCATGAACTTAAGCATGTTTTATGATGTGTTATTGCTGTACAGATTTTGATTCAGTAAAATTATTAAAAATTTCATTTCTTTCGATGTTTATCTTTGTATTACGGCTTAACGTGCAACCTATTTAAACCGAAAATGTTCTTCAGAAAAATTAAATAAAATAACCTCCTATTTAATAAATTCAGAAGAGTTACATTACATGGTTCATATCAGGATACATGTTTAACTATTGTTTTCGTTAAGAATAAGATTAGATACTTTAATTATCATAAAAATAGAAAATCACCCCAATTTTTGATATTTTTTGTTTAAAAATTAATAATTTTGGTATACAATCATAAGTAAGTTAACACATCGCATTTTTCCAAAATAAAGTTATCATACTAAGTTCAAAAGGTCATTTAAAAAAAAAAAAAAACTTACAATGGAAGAGAGAAAGTGAAATAATTCAAAAATGAAATATTATCAATAGAAAAATTTAAATACTAATTAAACGTACCATCATGTTATTGAAAGATAATTGAACTTAAAATACTTAAACATAAACTCAAACAAAAAATATTATAAAGAAAAATGGCAGATAGGCACAACTCAAGGGAAGGGTTTAAGAATTAAGCGAAAGGGGTTTGGTTTGGTTTTTTCATTCATCGTTTTCCTTATCTTATGTGAAAGACTGAAAGTGAAGGAAAGAGCGAAGCGATAATGCTGGCGCTACTTCAGCACTGTTCCATGGCCATCCCCCTCGCACGTGCAGCACCTCACACGCGCATTCGTTCTTGTTCCACCGCCATCACCTTCTCACCTTCTTCCCCTCTCACCATCTCTCACTCTCAGTCTCACTCTCAGGTCCTCCTTGGCATGTCCGAGAAGGACCTGCAACACCTTGCCCTTAACTTCGGTCAGGTATTTTTTTTCCCCATTCAATTCGACCTAAATAACATATATAAATTCATTTTCTTAATTTTATTTTTGGTTGAATTTTTCTCAGGAAAGCTTTAGGGGAAAACAACTTTATCATTTGATATACCAGAGGAAGGTCAAGGATATTCAGGATTTCATTCTGTGTGGGTGTATTTATTTATTTTTACCTCTCTGTTATGTTATGTTGTTTTTGGTTGGGTTTGTAACGGTGGTTTTCTTGCATTGCAGTGCCTCAGGGATTTAGGAATGATCTTAAGGAAGCAGGATGGAAGGTGGGACGGTCTCCTATTTTCCGCACTGTCACTGCAGTTGATGGGACTGTTAAGGTAAAATACATAATCAAAATTCAACAATTCTATTGTTGTTGTCTTTTATTTATTGCTATACATGATAGCTTTTAGGTTATTTATTAATTATTTCTTGTTGTTTTAGTGGCCATGTTATGTTTTGAGATGTCCACACACAAACAAAATGATTGCATGGACTGTGTTTTGATTTATTTTGGCATTGATTAAAGTGTTTGTTTTTTTCTTTTGGTGTTATACTTAGGCACTTGCAAAGAGCAGGGATATTGACTTGGGTTTAACTTTTAAGGAATGCGAATGGGGATGTTTCCTTGGTTTCTTACTCTTTTTTGCGGTGGCATTTGGTTTTGCAGCTTTTGCTAAAGTTGGAGGACAGTAGATTGATTGAAACTGTTGGAATTCCGGTTGAAGATGATAAAGGTTCAGTTCGCCTCACTGCATGTGTTTCATCACAGGTGTTTGGTTGATTCCTGAATTATTAAATAATTAGCTGTTGTTTTGCTGGAATATACGTATAGTTGATCTGGAAACTTACTTTTGTGTATGTGAGAATTTGTGTTGATATTTTCATTATTTTGTTGTTGCCCTCTGTTGGATATTTAGGTTGGTTGCCCTTTACGCTGCTCGTTTTGTGCCACTGGAAAAGGGGGGTTTTCAAGGAATCTTCGAAGACATGAAATTGTTGAACAGGTTGTGCCATACCTCATCCATGTTCGTCCATTAAAACTGTTTGATCTTTGATGTTAGATTACCTGCATGGTTTGTGAGATAGATTGCCTAGGGCAACTGAGATTATTTTAAAAAATTAAAAGGTGAGAAGAAATAAAAAATAATGTATAAAGTAAAGATAAGAGGTTATGGGTCATTTTTCTTTGTTTTTCCTTTTTCGGATTGTAAATGTTCTGAAGCACATTTGACCACAAGACGGATAAAATGCATCTTATGTGAACAGGTCTTGGCCATTGAGGAGGTCTTCAAGCGCAGGGTAACAAATGTAGTGTTTATGGGAATGGGTGAACCAATGTTAAACCTGAAGGCAGTACTTGAAGCACACCATTGCTTGAACAAGGTGAATAAATGACTGTCACTATGATGTATGACATTAGTTTCTTACAAATGCTTACTTTTAATCATAACAGTACTCTATGAGACTGAGAGGTCAAACTTCCATGTATTCTCTTGCCTTTGTTAACCTTGTCAATTGAACTAGGGATTGGCTGCCACAGAATTTGATGTTGTCTTAGTAATTTTTAGATTCTTCAACCCCCCCCCCCCCCAACACACCACCACCTCCAAATCCCCACCACTAGATCAAGTGTTTTGCATAATATTTTATCTTTCCTTGTGGAGGAGGGACAAGAAATGTTTGTTTGGTGATTCCCAGACTCTTTTTATGCCACATGGCAATGCATATGTAATTTATCTTCGATAGAAGTGCTTACATATGATAAAATTATCGGCATACATATGCTCTTTCCTTCAAAACTTAAAGGAATCATTTTATCAGCTTAATGTTTTATTCTTATTTCACTTTATTTTAATGGAGTATTATTTTTAAGTTTTGCATTAAGTATGCTTATGTTGGGTGTGATTCTTATAGGATGTCAAAATTGGGCAAAGAATGATGACCATCTCCACTGTGGGGGTTCCAAATTCAATAAAGAAGCTGGCTTCGTACAAACTTCAATCTACTTTAGCTGTGAGGTAATTTCCTTTGGTAGATATAAAATTTGGATTTACAAGTTTTTTCTATTAATTGGCCTCTTCAATCTTCATGCTAAGCAAGATATCTGGTGGTAAAATGGCATTTGCATGAGTATTTAGACCTTTGCGCTGCCAGCTGGTCACAGTAGCTGGTGCCCTATATAATATGTTTGAGGGGCACTGTTCTATGCTGCAATTCATTGCTTTTGCTTGATAGGTGAAGGTGACGTTCAGGTTCATTGTGACATTGTTTCAAGAAATATCTAGTTTTGCATCTTGAATTTCATATTATTAGGTGTTGCGCAATGCTACTTCATAACATATTCAGAAGTTAGGGGTAAATTTTGAGCTTTCATGTTAATGTATTTTTTGTTCCATTGGCTTATGATTTTCTCCAGAGCCTAAATTTTGAAGCAGCAGCTCAAACATTGGCATTTCTGAAAATGTTGCAAATGCATTTCTATTAAGCCAGATATAAACCTTAAAATGACATTGCTTTCTGTCATTTACTATTTTCCCTTTTAGAAAGAGTGCTTTGATAATCTCTTGCAAAACTGATCCCTCCCCCAACCTGCTTCAAAAAAAGAAAGGAAGAGTTACTTGTGGACTACTTTGGATTTGTGGCTGCAAAGTATAGCATTAATTTGTCTGTTTAACTTGAGATAGCTTCAATGAATTTATGTATGTGATTTTTCTTTTGTATTTTGCATCAGCCTACACGCTCCTAACCAGAAACTTAGGGAGACAATTGTTCCAAGTGCTAAATCCTACCCGTTGGATGCACTTATGAGCGACTGCAGAGAATACTATCGTGAAACCAGTAGGCGGGTTTCCATTGAATATGCACTTTTAGGTACAGAAATTTCCAATACATACTTGTTCCTTCTTGTATAAGAGGGTTGATGAAATTCTGATGATAAACTTAGCATGTTCTGGGCATTATGTTTGAGCAGCTGGAGTCAATGACAAGGTAGACCATGCAGTAGAACTTGCTGAATTACTCCATGCATGGGGCCATGGTTATCATGTCAACTTGATACCTTTCAATCCAATAGAGGGCTCTGAGTATCGTCGTCCTTACAAGAAAGCAGTATGATAGTTTTCTTATTGTTTGTTCATTTTCAACATGATTTAGTTCATGACTAGTGTCATCTGATAATTTTGGAATGATTAATCCAAAAGTTCCTTATGGGGTAGGTGCAAGCATTTGCTGATGCTTTGGAGTCCTCTAAAATAACCGTTACTGTACGTCAAACGAGAGGACTGGACGCAAATGCAGCTTGTGGTCAGCTACGGAACAGGTTCCAGAAAACTCCTTTAGTCACAGACTTTGACAATACGGAATGCCAGCCACAAAACTTGGATCTTTCAGTAACCTGTTGATTGCAGTGTTTCTTTCTTGGGTGTTGATGTTATCATCACTCTGCATATATGCCATATAATAAGTTTGCAGTAGCAGTTGGTGAGAGCTTTGATGAACCAAAGATGAGCATAAAATCAACCTACCAATATAGAGGTGTTTACTGTTGCTGCATCAATTGTAATGTCAACTTACTTGCCATCTGAGAAATTGTGGATAGACATCTATTTGATTGTTGGCAATATTAATATTGCTGGAGCATTCACGCCCGCGATAATAGTTTTGTTGGATTCTATGGCATCATGTGGACTATGCTAAGAGGAAATCCATGAGAAACAGCCTAGAGGGTTAGGTGTAAACTAAGTGATTAGGAGTTAATCGTGTGCAAGTTGGAGAATTTTCCATGTATGTGACGTCTTTTGCCTGATATATGTTTATATAGCAATTTGACTTTATTTTTTAGAATGAGATAATCTCCATATGTACTTTCTTTATGTAATCACATCTTTCAAGTTTTGATATACATGTTTTTTTTTTATCTTTTACATTAAAATGTCATGTGACATGTACATTGTTAATCATTTTTTTAAAATGTATTGTTAGTAATTGGATAAATAAAGGAAAATATTTTTAACTAAATTTTGAATAACTTATTAAAAATTATTAAATCATCAAAATCACATTAATTATAAAAAAAAGCTTCAAAAGATGATAACAGACGTCACTATCCAATCATATTTAGTTATTTTAATTTTTTAAATTAAGTCTCTCATACTAAAATTATTTAATAATTAATAAAAATAAAATAAATATATAATATATCATTTATTTGTACAAATTTATAACAAAAATGTACAAAATAATTAAATGCAAATTCAAAATTTTTATTATATTTCATATATTTTATAAATTTTTTATTAATTTAAATAAATTAATACTACCACACTTTTATTATATGTTTGTTATAATTAAATGGAATTTTAAAATAAAAAAATTTTGAATTATTGAAAAATTAAATAGATGAACAATTAAAGTTAAGGAGATTAAAATTATACGTAATTTAAACTATAAAAATCAAAAGTGTAATAAAATATTTAAGAAACATAATTAAAATATATGTATAAATTAATTTAAATCACAGTTAAATATAAAAATAATATATATTGTTAACTATTTTAATTTAAAGCAAACAAGTTTTACACCAAAACGGTGCGCTCCGTCTGGTCTCTCTAGAGTCTCTAGGGTTTAAAGCAGGTTGCTCTCACAGTGATTCGAAGGAAAAGCATTGGTCTCTTTCTTCTTGCTGTTGCGAGCTTAAGAGATTTCTTTGTCATCACTCAAAGGTAACACGCTCATTCTCATAACCATCCTTTTTGTCATTATATTGTTTGCTTCCGAGATAATTGGCTCAAAACAAAAAAAAACGTTTGACTTTGCTCGTGATGATCGTTATTTGATTTGGTACTAATAGGGTTAGGGTTAGGGTTAGAGATGCGAAGGAACAGTCCAGCGTACTACAGTCCTCCTCGGAGAGGATATGGTGGGAGAGGAGGGTCTGGTAGGAGGGGATACGGTGGAGGTAGGCGCAGGGAAAACAGCAATGGAAGCCTTTTGGTTCGGAACATTCCCCTCGATTGCAGACCCGAGGAGCTTCGAGTCCCTTTCGAGCGATTTGGACCTGTTCGTGATGTTTACATACCAAAGGACTATTACTCTGGGTGAGTGTGAGCCAGATTTCTGAACAAGCCTTTTATTTCATTTTTCTGATTTTAAGACTGTTTTTTTTTTTTAGTGTTTATGTTATGTTTCTGTTTTCAAATTGGTGAGAGGTTGTTGACTAGTTAATTACTTTTTCAGGGTGTCAAAGTGCTGGGTGGGGATGTTAGACTTGATTTTGATTAAGTATTTTATTTTTTATTTTTTTTTAATTTTTGGATTGTTGGAATTAATTTTGGACTGGTTTGTCAGGGGGTATGTTGGTTTGAATTTGTTGAAGTTAAAACAAGACCAAGCCCCACATTTGAAGAGGAGATCTACTCACTCTTTTAACATATTGGTCCCAAGTGTGTTAATGTTCATACCAAGAGAAACTATATAAATTACACAACACAAATCTATACGAGTTTGATGCAAGATTGGGTGTTGGTTCTTGTCCAATTGAAGGCTTCGTGAGGAGATTTTTTTTAGTTTGTGGTTGTGGGAGCTTTGTGTTCAGGTGCTTCTTATAAGTACAATACAACGAGAGTGTTGAAGAATTTTCCAAGTCACTTCCGTTTACTACTTGAGTGTAAAGAAAAAGGCACTGTCAGAACTAAGCTTTGGATTTTAGAAGCTTTAGTAAAGTCAGCGTCAACTGCTGTCTACTTGTATCAAGAGAGCTATAAAATAAGTTGTCTAAAGAAAGCTATACTAAGTAATGTGATTTGAAGTGGTTACTGGGGTATGCAAAATTCTGCCTAATCAGCATATTCTACAATCTGTCTCTGCCAATGTTTTTCTAGCAGTCTTAGAATGAAGCTCCACTTTTTTCCCGTACAGAGAACCTCGAGGCTTTGCATTTGTGCAGTTTGTGGATCCTTATGATGCCTCAGAGGCACAATACCATATGAATAGACAAATTTTTGCTGGAAGGGAAATATCTGTTGTCGTGGCTGAAGAGACAAGAAAAAGACCAGAGGAGATGCGCCAAAGATCTAGGTTCAGGTATTTCTTTCCCTTTTTTTGGTGTGTCCACCTATTGTGTAATGGATTACAAAGCTGTCTTTTAGGTCAACTCTTTCCCTTCAAATATACTCATATGGTGTTTGTATTTTACAGAGGACCGACAAGCTATGGAGGGCGAAGGTCTTCTTATTATGGTAATATCAATTGTAAAATGTATGACTGGGGTTTTCTTGTGTTAGTTATAAATTCTGTCCCATCTGCAATTGTTATGCATAGAACTTTTATCTTCACTGGATGAACGAAAATGAAACAGTAGTTTGAGGGATGGATGTCTTGTCTATTTGGACTGAAATTTGATCATCTTTGCTTTGCTGCTCAGAATAACTGTTCACTGGCTGCTGTCTTTGAAAAAGTTATTGCTTTGTCCTGATTGGGTGTGTTCCAATAATGAATCTAAATAAGTTCTTCTGCTGTCTAGACTATTGCTTCATTTGGTCAGAATTAGAACTATTGGAATTTAGCCCTATTTGGTATCTAAATCCGATGCATAAAAAAGTGGTATTATTTTGTTTTTTACGGTGCTGTATCTTGAATTTGTACCCTGAAGTTGTCTTATCATATTGACCGCTTGGTTATTATCTGTCGGGATTTCTGAGCCTGTGAAAAACCTTCCTGTGTCTTTAAATCTAATTTAATTAACATAGTTAGTTAGCTTACTGAAGACCATTTTAAGGACTTGATGGCTGCTTTCTTGCTGGATTCCATCAATGATTGCTATGATGGGGATCCAGAAAATACTAATTGGTCAAGCAGCCAATTTTTCATAATGCTTTTTTAGCTCATCTCTTATAATAAATCACAACTTATATAGGTGCTTATATTGCTAGTTTCCTAGTAACTCCACCTTGCTTTCAGACACATGCTTTTTTCAATTTATTCTTTCTCATTCCCCGTCTCAAATTTTGGTGTCTCACTGATGTTGTGTTAAGTTCTATTTGTTAATGACTCCAATTTTTTGTGCATATTGTTAAATTCAGAATTAATAGCTAATTTGCTTTGCTGGATGATTTCATATATTTGAAGAATTGGTCAATATTGAAATTCTTTTGGTTGCCCAAATGTGAAACGATACTACTTTCCATTTCTTATCAAAATTAGTGGCTTTTGTTTATCATTATGTTGAATCCATCAGGGCGCTCTCGGTCTCGCTCAATTAGCAGATCACGCTCGCCACCTTACCACTCTGGTTCTAGAAATCGATATCGTTCAAGGTAAGTTTCTTCAAATTATCTTCATTTTAGAGTCCATAGAAGCTTGTAATCATGGTTTTAAATTCATATTTAGCAGGTCCTATTCTCCTGGTCCAAGACGGCAAAGTGACTACTCTGTTTCCCCTAGGAGGCAAGCAGAGCACCCTAGATCACCAAGAGATCCTCCCAGAGAGCGAGATGGTGATCAAAAGCATAGAACATATTCTCCAGCTTATGGAAATGGGATTGAACAGGATCAAAGCAATGGATATGCTGAGTGAGTCGATCTATTTTGTGTTTAGCTACTTGACTGTACCTGGATTTTCTCCCTCTTGTGTATTTACACCATATAATATTCTATGAAAAGGAAATCTATATACAAGTCTGAGGCTGATCGAGGCCAGTGGAAGTCATCCTTACGTAGAGCATCAAGATCACCCCTAGGATCTAGATCAAGATCTGTTGATTTATCACCCAGACATGGAAGATGAGGTAAAATGTTCAAGAGAAAGATTTGAGTAAATTGGTTCCCTCCTTCGGTTTGAACTTAATTTGATGGTTTTCATCATGCAGGTTGCAGGTCATTGGCAGTGTGCTGCTGGGCTTCTGTATATTTCCTTCAATTTGTCAAGACTTATATAAAAACCCGTATTTTGCTTAAAGTTGGCAAATATTATGGATGTATAATATTTTATTTGATATGCGTCTTTTTGAACATTTTGCACTTACTAAGACTTAGCTTAGAATCTGAATCCTTGAATGCTTGCTTTGAGCTTGTTCTATGACCCTATGATTTCAAATTTTCAATTTATGCAGTTGTATGATACTATCACTGAGCATAAATAGCTAACTAAATGGTTAACTTTCCTCTAAAATAAAATTATACGCTTGGAATTTGGAAGTGAAATTCGTAGCTTTACGCTTACCGTCAATTAGTATTTATTTGAGTAAAGCCTGTTAAGTTCTACTGGTAATAACTTTTTTTTTTGGGTCGGGATGGGGGTTGTCGCAAATAAGAATGGTTTGAAAAACAGTGACTAGCATTTGGATGGAGAAATCAAAAAGTGCTTGTTGGATTACTGAAAAGACTTTATTCTTTTTAATAGTTGGGAGTTTCCTTAAATAATTTTGTGAGTCCAAGAAAGTTTACATTTCAATCTATTATAATTCAATACTTTAAAAAGAATTCCTGAGAAGTGTGGTTATATGGGACAAGGATGTTTTTATATAACTACTAATATTGAATTACTGTGTATACATGTTTATTGTGGCTCGGAGATTGATACTTCTGCTTCACAGTTTGTCTTTCACGATCATGTCTACTGTAAATACTAATAATTTTTCAAGTTTGTAAAGATTTGATGGAATGGTACACGTTAGATGGAGTTCACGAATAAAATAATGATATCTCGTAAAGGCATTTTTCCCATATAAAGTGACAGTCAAATTGGTGCATCTTTTGGCCGTGAAAGATTAGATTAAAAGCAATGTGCAATGCAATTTACTATATAGCACATAAGTTTATATGACTTGTAAAATATTAACTCGTGAAGTAATTGTTTTATAAATGTAAGTTGCAGGAGTGGCAACTTGATACTCGTCTGCACCTAACTATTTTTCATTCATGTTTTTCTGTAAGCTGATATTACTCCTAACAAGTAGTTTTCCAAAAGTTTATTTTGTAAAGGGAAACCACCAATCTCTACTCGCATAACAAAAATCGTTTACATTCCTGTGTTCTCATAAACCGATCCGTTTCCTGCATAGTTAATTGACTCAAGCCATGGTGAGATGGAACATCTTGCCCTCTAATATACAATATCTTCCGAATTTAGAGCAAGTATTTGCTCCATATAATCTTTTTACTTCAAAATTACCACGATGAAAGACATTTTTTAATGTCCAATTGATATAGAGACTTCTGATATACAACAGCCATTGATAAAAAGGTCAGAATTGAGGTCGAAATACTGAACGTGACCATATAAGGAAATTGTTTCAATCGGCCCACCTATCAATTAAAGCTTATTTTGACAAGCAAAACTAACCTCGATTCTTAATTGCTATATCATAAATAAAGTTCTAAAAAAACCTTCTGCTTAGTAACTTATTGCGCTTTCTTTAAATTTTTTTTCAACGAATAAAAGTGGGCTATATATAAAATTAATAAAAATTCAAAATAAAAAGTAAAGGAAAACTATATTTAATATTTCTAGGTATATATGATAATTTAATAAAATGTATTTAATATGCCAATTGTCAAAATTTAAAATTTTATTAAAAATACCATCAAACTAAATAAAAAGCCTCTGATAAAATTGATACTAAAATGAAAAACTAGAACATTGCCCATTAAAAATTTTATTATCGAGTGTTAAGTCCCTGACACACTACTTAGCAATTCTTATTTTATAATACAAAAGATAATTAAAAAATTTTATACATAGGCCTAACGTTTGCGCGTTATCTTGGACTTGATCAAATATAGCATGCCGTGTGCTTATTCAACAAGTCATCCTCTTAAGCCAATGGAAAAGTAGAAAGACGGGGAATAACGTATGATACTCAACAGTTTCCTTCCATTTTCATTTGTGTTACAACATTTTCACTCGTTTCCATTGTTACTTTACGACTCTGAAATCAAAGGAAGTTTTATTGAAACGGAAAAAACTTAGATGAAGTAAGTTTGTACTTTTGTTATCAAATTCTTAAACTAAATAGTAACATGTATATATTTTCAAAAGATTTATGACGCTTTTAATAACAAAATTTGATATCATAAAGATAAATAGTAATAAAAAGATTTTGTGTATTTATCTACTTCTAATAAATTCTAATAAGATCGCACCAACTTAATCACACAATTTTTTTGCGTGAGGGAATCTATTCAGTGATGTTTATTACTTGTTCGTCCTCCTTTGTATCATGGTCTGCTCAATATTGACTATTTGTTCTGTATTTCCATAATGAATATAATTATTTTTTATTTCACTTTTTATTTTATATTTAAAAAATTACGCCAGAAGTTGTTAAAACATTTTGTATTGACTATTAAGGTTTCTTCTTCGATACAAACCAGGGAAGGTTCTATTTCATCTCCTTGTCAACTTAGAGAGAGAGAGAGAGAGAGAGAGAGAGAGAGAGAGAGATGGCAATTGGGTTCATGGAGGTGCTGCTGGTGAAAGCAAAGGGTCTTCAAGAAACTGATATCTTTGGTACATTACATCTTTTGCTCAGATTTCATTGTTACATCATTTTCTTTTCCAATTTATGTTTTCACACAATGCTCTTTTGCTCAAATTTTAAACTTTTTCTTATTCTAAAAAAGGGTTTTTTCTAAGCATTTATGCATCGATTATATTCAACTCCTTGTTAAACTTCTGATCTGACATCTCAATTCCTCGAGTCCAGTTTAGCTTTGATGAACCCAAGGCATTACCATGATGATTTTCTTCATGATTAGTTGTTTTTCTTCTTCTTTCAAAACAATGTTATAAATTGCTCAAAATATATGGAAGTTTTAAAATCCTGCTATGCTCTGATTCTAACAATTTTTTAATCTGAATTCTTTGTTGATAGCTCATATGGATCCGTATGTTGTGTTACAATACAAAGGGCAAGAGCACAAAAGCAGTGTAATTCATGGTTAGTTCTATTGCTCATTTTCATAGAAATTGTATAGCATTAACAATCATGACTGAAAAATGTGTATTTCATGATTTTTGTGTGGAGTGTGCTAAATCGTAGAGCTTTGCATGGAGATATAGGGAGAAGTAAATCTTTCAGTTTTCACCAATTATCATGATTGCCTTCTGTTATGGCTGTAGAGGACAACTGAATGTTGCTTTCACTTTTCACTTGCCATTGATGGAAATGATTTCTTAAACTAAGTTTTTTGAAGTAGTTTTATTATTTAGTGTAGTTCATGATTAACTGAACTTATGAGGTAACCTTCACCAAACCAGAAGATGAATGACTTAAAGATTGTAGTTCATTACCCCCAAAGAGTACCGGGATCAATTTGAAGAGTGGTATAACCCTGATTAAAATTCTTATCCAAACCTTGGGTAGTTCAGACAAGATATTGCATCCGCTTACCTAAACAGCAGATTCATATAAACGACCTCAAAACTTGAGACCAGCTTTTCTAAAATTTAGTGTTGTGTAAAAGTACTGAATCATTTAATTGTGAGATTGCAAGAGAAGAAAAATGAAAAAGAAAATATTAACCAAGGAATTTCTTAGACTAAATCTAGTAGGCATGCATTTCGTCTGTAGGTGGTATACTGATACAATATGTTGTTTCTTCCTTTCTCTTTTATATTTTGGGGAAGGTGGATGATAAGGAAAATTGAATATATCTCTCTTTTTTTTATGGAATTAAGTACTTTTTAATTAGACGAGTTTAAGAATGTCATGCTAAAAGGGCACCCTGGGAGGGGGACGAGGGAGGGAATAAGAATTAAGGACTATAACACTTGGTTTTCTTTCCTTAATCTCCCTCCCCTTCTCAACCCTTTTGTTTGTATTTCCTTTGTTAAAGGAAACGGGTAAGCAAATCTGAATAAATGTGTGCTTGAATCCATATTCAAATTTTGTGTTGACACATAACACTACATCTTGTAGCGTTCAACCAAACACGTGTTCTCTGTATATGCAATGTGGTTCCAAACATAGCATAAGTTTGCTTTCTTCATTTTTCAAATGCTTAAAAATGTTTGCAATTTCAAACATCGTACATAATTTCAATCCTAGTATCTTAGACACTGTAGTGCATATTACTAGCCTTCAAGTAATATAAATGCTAATAAAAGCTGAGATGAATTTTCCGTTCCTTTGCCATTAATAAGGTTTTTGGTTACTTAACATCATTGAATGATGCAGAGGGAGGCAGCAACCCTGTGTGGAATGAGAAATTTGTATTCAGAGTGGAATACCCTGGATCAGGTGACCATTATAAGCTCCACCTTAGAATCATGGACAAGGACGTATTTTCTGCAGATGACTTTGTTGGCCAGGCTACGTAAGACTTAATGGCTTCTTAAATAAAGTAAATGAGACATGAAGAAGGGTGGCAAAAATTACAAAATGAGGACACCCTACTTATGCTAGGATCATGAGAAAACATCATAAAGCATGTTCTTACCGTTTATTTCTTGTTCATAATAAAGGACAACTTTCTGTATGCAGAATATATGTAAAGGATTTATTGGCAGAAGGAGCAGAGAATGGATCAGCTGAGCTCCGTCCTCGCAAGTATAGTGTGGTTAAAGCTGACCAATCTTATTGTGGCGAAATTGAAGTTGGTTTAAATGTCACACGAAAGGTAACTTTTTTATAGTTAATAGCTTGAAAGTGCTCATATTTCTTGTTATGCAAATGATTGCAAGGAATATAAGTTTGAGTTCATATGAAAATCATGCCAACTATGATGCACCATGATAAATTTGAAATGAAGCTAGTTCATTTCTTGTATATGATACCATATTAGGAGTTTCTTTGATGTTGTTCTTGGAATTCACAGGAAGAAGAATATACTGACGATGAGATTGGAGGATGGAAGGAAAGTAGCTATTAGTTCAGTGTGCTTCAGATATGGATTTTGGAATGTCTTTCTGTATATCTTTGAATATGCATAGAACTTGAAATCCCCTCTAGCGTTTGTGATGTGATGTAAAAACACTTGCCAAGTAGTTGTTAATGAGTTTCATCGTTCAATTTGTAATCACAGGAGTGAATGTAAATTGAGATTCATATTCATGAAGAATTTGAAAGTTTATATAAGATAAAAAAGAAAAAGTTAAGCAATAATTTTTATTTCCAAAATTTAAAATAAAATTAATAAAAAATAAAATTAGTGTACCAAGAAATAGTACAATTCATACATCATTTTTAGAATTTTATTCTTAAAGTACACATGATAAACCGTGAAAGAAATTAACTTTACTAAAAGTTTTACTTCTCATATAATACTATTATTTATAATAGAGGCTAATTCCTTTTACATTAAAATAATAATTAGATCAGTAAAAAGTATTTTTTTTAATTTTCATTAAATACATAAATAAGATATATTAGGTTTCTTTAAATATTTTTATCAATATAATTATTGAAAAAATTATAAATTATATAATAAAATAAATATAAATATATTTACTTATGATAAATTATTAAAAATAAAATGAAAACATAATAAATTTATTGACAAATTAATATCTTTTTTATTGTAATATGATATTTAAAAAAATTATCTTTAATTTCATTTTTACAATTTTTAATAAAATTATTTTAATAGTATTTATTTAACTTAATTTTTGAATGTCTAATTAATAATATATTTTAATTTTATGTCAATTTTTTTTTATATACAAGATGTATGTTGAATAGAAATCTTATATGATATAAATATCATGAGATAATTTTTGTTAAATTAAAATATAATAATTATATTATAATTATTAATATTCATGCACTTTATATTTATAATATATATAATATAGAATTTTTTATCATAAATATATTTATTTTATATTTTATTAATCTTTGGAAAATTTAAAAATATAATTTATCATACTTTAATTATTTTAAATTTAATTTACCATGCCACACAATAAATCTGATTTAATATTGAATTTTAAAAAATATTTAAAATAAACCTCATAAAATCCTTTTATAATTTAAAAATAATGTTAACTCACCTTGTTATACTTTTTAATATGCAATATATAACTAATTTTTTTAGGTTTAAATAAAAAGGATATCGGGACCTCTTAAACTTTAAAAGTACTGAAATTATCACCTTATTTATTTTAACTTTGACTAGAATGTTACCTTAACACGTTATAAAGAAAAATTAAATTTTAAAAAAAAAACTATCATTAAAATATAAAAATTAAAATGTATATGTTTTAATTTGAATTACTGAAAAATATAATATCTTCTAAATGAAATAAATAAATAGATAAATATACTTTAGAATTACAGCATTCTAGAAAAATAACTAAACTAATCATAGAGAGAGAAAAAAAAAGTTCGATGCATTCCAATATAGACTTAGTAGATCTTTCAGAGTATATACTGAAAAGTCATAAGAGAGTTTGAAGTGGTCATCCACTCATCCATCATAAATTAAGATCTGATGATGGCTGCATGACAATAATTAAGAATACGTTTGACTTGTCATCAATTCCCTCCAGAAAATAATGAAAGGCTATTAAAAATATTTATTAAAATGATATAATCAAATCATTTTAATATTTCACTTTAGAAATTTCTTTCAATAATGAAAACAGTTACAAGTACTGTGTACTAAGCAAAAAATTTAATCTTTCTGATATAGTTTAATATTTTTAGTAAGGTATTGACTTCTTTTCATACCACTCCTTTTTCACACCTTCAATTTTTTATAAAAAAAAATATTCAAAACCATCATTATCAAAATGTTCACGAAAACTCAAGTTTTTTAAATAAAAATAATTTTTGAAAATATAGTGTAACATATAATTGAAGAATTAACTCTATAATTTCACATCTTAGTCTACCAACAGCCAACGCGTGCTTTGAAGGAAATTAGATGGTAACTTCATAATATTCCCAATTGCAATATACTAATTTTAATCTTAATACAAGCTTCTTTGATTTGATGACAATTCGATCAGACTGGGTCAGAATCAAACTCCAGAAGTGAGTTTTTTTGAATGAATTGCAAATTTGACTCTTCAATAATAATAAGTCTCCCAAGAAAACGACTAATAATTAATAATTTTCACGCAAGCAAATAGTTATCACACGATGTGACTGAGATGAATTATGTATTCACAAAATTATTTAATTTTATAGATTTGGGTATAATTTTTATTATAAAGACAAAAGAGCACTTAATTGTCCTTTAATCATTTACTAATCCCAATTGGCAATTATTTATCTTGGTTTTGGAAATGGGAAGACTAACACCGCGTGTGGTACTATTCAATTCTTTGATTCTGTATAATGGCAAAGTCTTGGTCAATGCTGAGGACACTATATAAACCAAGAACAAGGTAACACTCCTTCCAACTTTAACGGTCCCAAGCCTAAAACCAGATACTTCTTCTACACGTCATAAAAACTTGCCAAATTAGTTAGATTCTTCAGTTTTCAGAGACAAAGACACAGAAATGGCAATTGGGTTCATGGAGGTGCAGCTTGTGAAAGCAAAAGGCCTGCGCAACACTGACATCTTTGGTATATAACAAGTGTCTTTGACTTATATTGTTTCAAAAACACCATTTTTTTTTAACTTCAACTCTTAAAGTTGGATTTAAAGTGATAAAATTTTATTAAAAAAATATTTATTACATTTTTATATAATAAGTTGTTAACAGTATGTTCTTAAACTCCTTGCCAACTCTTCTAACAAGGTATGGTGTCATCTATCTTCTTACTTTGTTAATAGGTAAAATGGACCCCTACGTTCTCATACAATACAAAGGCCAAGAGCGAAAGAGTAGTGTCGCTAATGGTAACAAGTTACCTCTTTCCTTTTCCTTTTATTTACAAGAAAAGAAACCTAGCTATATAGAAATCCAAAGACATTTTAACAATGTGCATGAATATTAGTAGTGCTAATGATTGCTTATACACATGCATTATCTTATATGCAATCAAATGAATTAAAAAATAAAGATTGGTAGATACATAAAATTATGTCACTCACTCTGAGGACATTTGTAATGCTAATGGTTTTAAAATATAATTGAAAAACTCTCTAATGTGGTGTCTTCTCGTGCAGGCCAAGGCAAAAATCCAGTATGGAATGAGAAATTTATCTTCAGAGTAGAATATCCTGGATCAGGAGATCGAAACAAGCTTATCCTTAAAATTATGGACAAAGACAGTTTTTCTGCAGATGATTTTGTTGGACAAGCCACGTAAGACTTCAAATTTAAAGGCTTCATTATAGTTAATTAACTTAATGTAATGTCATAATCAGTTGTTCTAGTATAAACGATTTTGGTATAATTACTTTGTTTTGATTAAGCAACGTGCTTATTTCACACCCATGCAACAAAACATGCAAACAAGCAACATACAATTAATTTAAAAATTATTATTTGTGTAATCGTGGGAAAATTCTTAACCCCGAAGGCAAGTAGCATGCTAGCAATAATCATTTAATAAATAGTTAACTTGTTAATGATTTAAAATAGAAATTGGTTTCTTCTGTATGCAGAATCTATGTAGGGGATTTATTAGCCCAAGGGGTAGAGAATGGAGGAGCTAAGCTACAAACTCTTAAGTATAGAGTGGTTCGTGCAAACCAGTCTTATTGTGGCGAAATTGATGTTGGTATCACTTTCACCCGAAAGGTAATCTTCACGTTTAATCACTTCGTAAAATGTACTTAAATGTTACCAATGTAACATTTTTTTTTATTCAAACAATTTTAAAGAAAGCTATACGTACATCTATATTATATATGTTTGGTTGATCTTGGTTTTTGTTGGAAATTCATGCAGGTAGAAGACGAATTTATTAAAGAAGACATGGGAGGATGGAAAGAAAGTGATTACTATCTGTCATAGATTAGCATGATCAGTTTCAATTTCATATTATTTCATTCTTTAATTCTTTTTAACTAGCAGGAGCAAGATAAATTTATTAAACTGTTGTACTATCAATTTAATTTGTATTATTCCTCTAATTTGTACTTATGAGATTATTCTCATCATCCCAATTCTCAATTATTCAACCTTTGACGCACTTGACAATGTACTTATTGGCCAAATTTTGAAGAAAAAAAAACACTTTATCAACAAAGATTCAAGGAAAAAGAGAATGAGAAACAAATAAATATTGTACCGGAAAATGTTAAATTATCTTTCAAAAGCTTGCAAAGAAATATTCCAAAAATGTGATCAAGTGAAATTGGCTGAGAATCTAACATAATCGTAAGTTCCCAATATGCAAACAATGGTAAAGAAAGTTAAATTCAACTACATGTGCTAGTTAATCAATGATGGTAATGCACCAAAACATATATAATAAAGAAATTTGTGTTTACTGTTTGGTTGATGCCTTTGTTAGAGTTCATGTATTGGTAGGGTTGGAGAAAGAGATGAAAGAATGGAAGGACAGTATCAACTATATATCTCTCCTCTCTCATAGCAGTTTATATATATATATATATATATATATATATATATATATATATATAGAGAGAGAGAGAGAGAGAGAGAGATGAAAATCAGGGTAAATTAGGCGTACAGGTTTCGGGATTTCCATTATGTAACAAAATCATCAGTTTTAGTTGCAATTTTTTGTAAACAAGTTCGAGCAAGCAGCAGTTAACAAACTGGGGCTATCAAAATATATGTATTGTGAATTTAATAAGCAGTTTATTGTTTAAGTAACTAAAAATTAAGGGGAGAATTAAAAGATATATCTAAAACTTGTTTTTTAAAGAATGTTTTAATTATATGCATCGTCATGAATAAAATTTAATATGAATATAAACAATATTTTGACTTTTGCGTTCACTATTTTTAAATTCAAATCCTAGAGCACGTAACGATCCAAATTATGTTACGTCCAATACTTAATATATTTATGAAACGATATGATTACAACAGTTAAGTGTATATATTTTAAAAACCAAAGACAATCGGTTAGTTGTTTTATATATAAAAATCCATTCTGAACAACAACGCCGTCTTAGCTCAGAGGTAGAGCGCGTGGCTTTTAACCACGTGGTCGTGGGTTCGATCCCCACAGACGGCGTTCATTTAATTCCTTTTACATTTTTGCCAAGTTCAAGTTCAACTTTTTTTTTTTTGTGTTTTGGTCAAAGTTCAATTTTTGTTGAATTGTTTTGTAAAGCCTGGCAACTCATTCACGGGCTTCACGTCATAATCATTTTATTTATGGGCTTCACGTCATAATCATTTTATTTATGGGCTTCACGTCACCACCGAAATCATCTTAAATGAACATTCTACCAAAGGGAAAAAAGTGTTCATGAGATGGCCATGCAACTCAAACCCAAAACAAATATCATCCACCGTCACAGTCCACCGCACATTCTCATTATAAATTCACCCCTGCCATTTCAACTCTTCATTTTCTTTCCTCTATTAAAGGGTCTTCTTCGAAGCACGTTCATCCCCTCTAATTTTGCACCTAACTATATATACTTTAATGTCACCCACTAACTACTAGTTATATGTTATTACATACCTTCCCTTTTATATATGAACCTCTTGACTTTTTTTTTCTTCCTTGATTGTGACCAACTTCCCTACACCAAAACATATTCACATTACCTACCTAAAGGTCAAAGGGCTTTGTTTTTATTTCACATAAACAATGAAATTTGAAGACTATCTCATGGAGAAAAGCCAAGAGCCTCAGAAAAGACAAGACCTCGAGAAGGAGGTGAGCTAGTTCTTCAATAGCATCCCTCATTTGGATCATTGATTCTCCAAAATCCATTGATATTGCACTTTATTTGCCACTCATAAAAAGCCAAAAGTTATAAAAAGATTAGTAAATAGCTTTGGTTGTTTGAACTCTTTTTTCTAATTAATGAGTTAATATTTCTTTTCTTTATTTCATATATGCTCGTAGGTTGTCAAATTAAAAGCACAGTTGAAGTGTGAAGAGGCACTCAATAGAATCTTACATTGTGCACTTCATGGGCCTGTGTTCTCTCTTCCTCTCATTCCCTCACTGTTTCCATCCCAGGTATTGTATAAGCAAATCACGACATAGACAAATACAAATAGTGTAAATATATGATTTTCTTTTTGAAGTGATATAATATTTTGACATAAGAAATTGCAGGTTTATGGGCTTCTTAAAGAATTGGCAATGGTTGAGGAAGAGATCATCATGCTTGAAAGAGAAGTTAAGGAACTAAAACTTAGATTGTACCAGGAGAGAGACCAGAACACAGATTGGCAAATACACCATAGGAGACAACCTAAACTATATAACCAGTTTCGAGGATCATCAAGATATGAATCAATGATTACTGAGCAAAGGTCCAGTTCACACAATTATGAAGTACTTCTTAGTAAAGGAAGAATGACAAGCCACAGAAGGGCCTCTCTAAGTTCGTCATTGGATTTCCATAGCCTATTGTCCATGCCAAGAAGGTCAAACGGTAAATACATCTCACTTGATATGGCATATTTGGTTTTGTAAAACATTTTTCTATCTTTACCTTTTGTTTACACAAGAAATTACAAAAATGCATGTTGATGTTTGTATAAGAAACAAGAAAAATATTGTTTTCGTTGTTTTTTTTAGAGGTCATTGTAAACAAACCAAAACACATTTGGTGATTTTGTAAGACTTGCAAACCATGATTAAAAAATGGTTTTTATTAAAAAAAAATATTATTCATGTACACTCATCATATATTTCAATACATTTAAGCATAATTGTTAACCAAAAAAATAATTAATTCCTTAACTAATAATACCCTTAAGGCACTAGCTAGTAAGATTCTTTTTATAATACCCTTATTCTGTCAATTTTCTCACAATGTGGTTTGCATTTGTGCTGAACAGAATATGAAGTAACAAGAAGGAACACTGGAAAGATAGCAAGACAATACCCTGTGTATATGGAAAATGCCATTGAGAAACCGAATGAATTATCAGAGGAACTGCTTAGATGTCTGATAGCCATTTTTCTCGAATTGAACAGGGCATCGTTGGACAGTGAAGAATCAGAAACTGTCCCTAAACTTACTCTTTCATGCATGAAGTCCACTGGCTTCATGACAAAGACCTCATTCAACAACAAGACACCTTCAAATGGAAATGCCTCCTTTCTTGACCCTTATGGCATATCATCTGATTTAGATTGCACAGCTAGAGATGTTGGACCGTATAAGGACTTCATTCAAATCACTAGGACCTCATTAGACATAGACCGTTTTTCACAGTGCTTGCCAGCATTCAGAAAATTAAGGTTGATTCTGAGCGTTATTAGGATCTCTTTAATTTGAGAAAATGATTTTTATTTTTCTATTTTCACAGATAATAAAAAAATGATACTTTATTTTATTTTCTTTTCAAATCTTTAAAAACAAGAAATAAAATAAAAATAAGACAACAGTTTTGCAATTATTTGTACAAAAAAATGAGTTTTATAGTCCAATAAATCCTTAGCTAACCAATAACTATTTAAATACCAACATTTTTTGTTTGGCTCATTTTTTCTAATCATCAATCCCTTCTTTTTAGGGTCTTGATGCATAAGCTATGTGATGTAGATTTGAGTTTCTTGACCTACAAGCAAAAGTTGGCATTCTGGATTAATATCTACAATGCCTGCATAATGAATGTACTGTAAGGCATTTCAAACCTTCATTAACATAAACTTACCTAACATATCTGCATGGTTAATCTTAGAAAACTTTTTGTTTTGATTTAACTGCAGGCATTTTTAGATCATGGCCTTCCTTCTACACAGGACAAACTGTTGTCTCTTATGAATAAGGTATGCCAGTGAAAAACTCTGGTAACTAGCAAGAATTTTTGGAAGTTGTAAAACATGAACTGTACTATTTCTTAGTGATTGCACTAACATTAATTAATTATGTTGCTATGTATTGACACAGGCTGCAATGAATGTAGGCGGGATAGTACTGAATGCTCTGGCTATTGAACACTTTATTCTTCGGCACCCATGTGAATCAAAACATGTATGAGACATAAATTTCTCAACTGCCTGTCTTCCTTTTAATTTTACTTTTAAAGGAGAAAGTTGTTTTATCAAAGTTTCAAAAATGTTTCCAACAATCGTGGTACATTATTCATATGAAATAGATTAAAAAATAAGTTGTAAAGGACACTTTTTTAGAGTGTGCTTTTAACACTCCTCTTTTTGAAATGAGATTAACCTTTTAAATAGCACTTTCGCACCAGTCCAAAAAAAATTCATAACATGCAATGAATTTTAAATTAATAAAAAAAAACTGAAAACTCTCAACTAAGACAACACAAGCAAACTTGAAATGGTAAATTTTGAGTTTTTTTTATCTTTTTCAATTGACATAAATCTGAGAATCATTCTTGTTCATAAACATTTAGTATATCCTCCTGCATATTCTTTTAATAATCTTATTACTGTTATTATAAAATAAGTTTTTTTATTACTTTACAAAATAAATATTAAATAAATATGCATATACTTATTATTTTAAAGTGATGCAAAATATTTAATATAGTTATAGTTTAATAATTAAAAAGATTTATAAATATCAAATGTAAAAGGGTCTAATTAAAATTATTCTTCTATGTAAGTTTAGATTGTCTAGTGCTTACTTTTCCTTCTTTGCGTGTCATGCGTTGATGTTATTTAATAGCCAACTAACTATATAGTTCACAAAACGTTATTAGGGTCCTGTGGATGAGAAGGAAGTGCTACTACGGCATGCTTATGGTCTGGGGTATCCAGAACCCAATGTCACCTTTGCTCTTTGTCGAGGCACTTGGTCCTCCCCAGCTGTAAGTGTATTGCTTAGTAAATTAATTTAACTGAAACAAATTGATGTTGGACCAAAAAAACTAATTGATGAAGAAATGTATTTGGTGAAAAAATATATATGCAGTTAAGGGTGTACACCTCTGACGAAGTTGTGAACCAATTGGGGAGGGCCAAAGTGGAGTACTTGGAAGCTTCAGTGGGTGTCACAAACAAGAGAAAGATAATTGTGCCAAAGCTATTGCAGTGGCATATGCATGATTTTGCAGATGAGATGGAATCACTGCTAGAATGGATTTATAGTCAATTGCCACGCTCAGGATCATTGAAAAGAGCAACGATGGAGTGCCTCATAAGAGAAACAAAATATCCCATGTCTAAAATGGTGGAAATCCAACCATATGAATCTGAATTCCGGTACCTCCTTCCTGTATAAATAATTTAAAACATGGAACGCTTTTTTTGTTTTTTTGTTTCTTTTTCAATTATTAGGTTAATTATATTTTTTAAGTTCTATGTAATTTTAATTTTTTAGTTTTAATTGCTCATATTAATTATTTTATTTTTCAACAATTCAAATTAAGACTCTCACATAAAATTTTATCCAATATTTAGCAAAAATATAATTGAAGTATGACATATTATTAATTTGTATAAATTATTGAAAAAATTATAAATATTTAAATAAAAATAATAAATAAAATGTATAAATATAATAAAAAAGTATTTTATTTAATTATTATATATATTTTTCTTTACAAGTCTGTATAAATTAATGGCATGTCTCATTTTCGTTATATTTCTAAAAATTGAACGGAATTTTAGAATGGGAGAGATTTAAAGTGCAAAGTGCGGAGACTAAGTGCAATTAAGCCAATGAATATTGCTATTCAGCACAGGAGTTTTGGGATGAAATTTAACGAACTGAAAATAAACCCATCATAATTCTCCCATAAATTTACTGTTTATGACTGGATCTCACATAAAAGCTCATCCTATAAGTTAAACAAACGTTGGAAAAGAATATCAAGTAGCACATTATTATTATTTCTTAATTAAAAAGCAGTTTTTTTAATGTGCATCCTTAGACACACAAGAAGTCAAGAACTTATAAATAGTAAATTTCTTTTAAAAACATGTTATTATTGAACTAGGTGGATTAAAAAAATTAACTACTATAACTTTTCAAAAAAAATGTATTCTTTGTTGATTTCTTATCATGGTCCTTAAGCACACATAAGAAAAATAAAAAATTAAGGTAAGATAACATCACAGCAGTTAAGTTGCCATGCTTTAAGTATCTTCTTTTTCTTTCTAATCGGAATCGGGAGGGTGAAAGACCACAAGATGTGGATACATCCTAACAGGAGCCTCTGAACCAGTAATCAATCAGGCACATAAACTCCAGTTAAATCGATTTTAACCGCAGCGAACCACAGCGGAAAGTGGATGAAAGAGTATCGACACAAAATGAGTTGCATGAGAAATGCTATCCACACAAACTATAGGATGAATTGAATTCATGCAAATGATTCATTCAATAATTGAGTGTATTCAAAAGGTGGATGAAAGAGTATCGACACATAATGAGAATGAGAAGAAGACACGAAAGTAAATGGAAAATTAGAGATTAACCAAAACAGAAATTACAGTCATCGACTCGCCGCCACCCCAACACCCGACCCATTTTTTCTTCCTTCCCAACAATACGAAAAAGGAAAAACTAGAATTCCAATAACTCACTAAAAGCAAGAAAGTTTTTCAATATACTTTCCCACAACTCAATCAATATTTGTGAAATTTCTATCCAATATCAAATCTTATGAGTGGGTAACAGATGGCTCAACTAAGAAATTGACAACCCTATTTAAGAAATTTAAGCCAAATACGGTCTCTTCACAGTTGACTTTTACAGAAACAACTAATGGGTCTGAGCATTTACCCTCAACAGTAACTGTAATTAAGCATGGCATAGAATTGCTCAAGATCTCACCACTGAAACGCAAGCACAAACCAGACGCATCATCAAGGTTGGCAGCAACCGGCATATCCACAGATACAAGAGAAAGATTTGCGTTGCTCAGCATTTTTAGTGATAAGGTCTCGCAGATTACAAGGAATTTGTCCTCTGTCAAAGAGTTGCTTCCCTTGTTCAGCTCTAGAATGTGATCGGTAAAGGTGCAACTGTATGCAAATTATGCAAGAAAATCAAAGTTAGAATTTCCAAGGATTAAGCAGGTAAAAACAAAAGGGAGAGAAGGGTGAGGAAGGTGCAAGGAATATAAAAAGTATGTTCATAATAAACAAATAAATAGTTTCAGATTAATGCACAAAATATTTCTTTTGTTGCATCCTTTAAATGAACATGGGAATTCCAATGCTCATCTCTTTGCTATTTCTTTTATTCAAATCAAGATATGCAAAGATCATTTTGTTTTATAAGTGTAGATCCTAACATCATTTCTAATAAAGATGGACAAAAACTAGGTGGGAAAAATTAAGCTAAGCTATCTGCATAACTAAAACCAGATAGGTAAACTATAAGGGTTTATTTGTTTTATGGGAATGTTTTCTGCTTTCATGGAAAATAATGTTGCCTTATTTTCATTTTTTTTTCTGGTTTTCAAATATTTATATTGAAAAAAAAATGGCATTTTTGTAATTATTAATGACAACAGAAAACATTGCCGTTAACCAAACAGGCCATATTGTAGATTCATAGCACAATAAATAAAATAAATTGACATGGAGGATACATTCTTAGTGTGTTAACTTTCATTTTGAAGTATATCCAAACTTCAAGGATAAAGAAATAAAATAGAGAGTGTGAATAAGTAATATCCAAACCATTCAAGATGTAAGCCTCCTTTATTTTTTACATGAAAAAATAGACATTTTACTAAATAAATGGTCAAAAGACCATAGTAACTTAAACTAAAATTCATTCAGTTACCACCTTTACACCTATCAGAAACTTCCTATTCATTGAAGTTCAAATTCCAATTCTAAATTCAAGACTCCTTCATTTTTCTGATACAATCACTCTCATCTTGCATATGCGTGGCATTTCAGATAAGAATGTGATCAATTCTTAATCATCCGTTGTAGTATTTTAAGTTTTCAACATAATTAATATTATTCATTATTTAAAAAATTATAAGTATGGAGATGGAGGGCTAATGTGTGATCAAATACATCCTACAAATGACACATGATGTGGTATATCTAACAAACAACAAATGACAGCCATACCTCCTCACATATTCAAACATCCCTGGAAGACGAGATTCCTTTTCTCTGAAATCTTCAATACTGATGGGAAGTGGTTTTACAAAGTATCCAATGTCAGGCCTTAACTTGACAGGGAATTTCTTGTCATTGCAAAATAAAGACAGTTTCAAAGGCAAAAGATGGTGATGGAAACGAACAAGTAGACTCCGGTTTGCTGTCTGACCAGGCTCCAGAGAATGGATCTCCTCCATGGAAACCAATGCTGGTTTATCAATATGAAATTTCAAGGTACTGCAACAAAGACAAAAGAAGCGGTATGCATAAGCACTTATAAAGCTAGCATGTAAAGATTTTACATAGCAATAGGTAAATTAGTGAGTACATGAACCAAAATTTACATACTGAACACAACCACAATACAAAATTTGAAAAGATTTAAACTTACTTTTCAGTAGTTGGTGATATTTGATCGCTAGAATCTGAGCTTTTGCAAGATTCCTCGTCTATCACGACTATATCAAACATGGGCTCCAGGGAACTGTTTTCAAATAATACTTCTAAACATACAAGATGAGAGGATATGCTTGAAGTCTTGGATGAAAATGAATAATTCACCTTTAACCCATTTCCATTTGCAGGATCTAAGAGAGTGTAGCATTTGGGTTTAACTCGGCTTTGTATATTTCCAATGGTTATTCTTGCTGAAGATCTACGAATTCGGCTTTGTTCTATTTCACTTCCTTTAGAGGACCTGGTTGGTTCATCCAACCAAGACTCAAGAGACTTCGTTGAGATCAAATCCCCAAAATCAGCAGTGCCAGATTCAGCCCCACCATTCTGGTTTTCACAGACATTGCTAGTGTCTGATATCTGAATCAATGGATCAGCATTTACTTCACCTTCAGTGCCAGAAACAGACTCATCACTGCCACTCACTTCGCTTGAACCAGTAATAGACTGTTCAGAACTATAATCTGAAGCACTTTCCTCATCCAAAGACCCAGATGTGCCAGGATCATCCTCCTCATCCGAATCACTCTTGGTAGCTCCATCGTATTGATCAAGATCAGTGTAAGGAAGGCTACAAGGTTTTGGGAGAGGATCATAGCCTGGAGCTGCATGGAATACTAACTGTGAAAGAGACCCCGGGAGATAAAACCGGTGATTGATGGGTTCAGATGCAACTGTCACAGTTTTTGTCTGTTGACCAAATATGCATTCTGCAAGTACTCTTTTTTGTGATTCACTATTTTCTCCATCCACACACTGAGACTCAAAATTGCTAGAGAGAAGTTTTTTTAAGAAACGTGAACGATCACGAATATCATAGTTCACGTCACACTCAGCCAGTTCAATTACATAAATCCACACTTTTCTCAAGATCAAAATATCTTCTCCCTTAATGCACAGCAATACCTGTGACCGAAAGCCATTATATCACAAACTCATTGCTTTCAGTAGAACTCTTGCTCCTTTTTATTTATATAAGGAGGAAAAGGGGAAAAGAGTTTCTCTTATGCAGTAGTTAGCTATATTTTCTTTATATTGTCTTTTAACAAACAAGTGACACCACAATGACTACATGCAGATATTCACCAAAAGGATCAAGTCTTGAAAGCTCAATTGAACAGCAGGAAAGAGAAGACTAGTAGTAGAAAACATTTGTCTAATTATCATATTAATCAATCAATAAACAATATATTTAAAATTCATCTTTCTTCATACTAAGTATAAAAATAACTTGAAAGACATACCTTTGCAGTTGTATTAAGAATCTGAAGCTTAGCTTCTGATGCTTCTGAAGTAAAACTCCATGCAAGATATGTGAGTACGGTACTCAACATCCTTGGAATTATCTCACCCAAAGAGCAATACTCCCCCAACATCCAAATAATCATTGCACGGGCAGCAGGCACCTTGATTGTATCCAAGCTACGGACCAACTGAATTATAACCTTTAAAATTTGAAAAGACCAGAGGTCAATCATAACTGCACAAGCGATGTACCAAAAGAGTCCAAGTGCCACTACCGACTCAAGGATTGAAATACTACACACAAGATACTACTAGTATGCTGTCCAATGCGTGAGTATGTGTTGGGGGGGAAGGGGGTTTCAGAATACCTTCTCGTAACTGAGTGGCTCTAATTTTATAATCGATTTGATGGACATAATTGCCTGAATTAGTACGCCCTCTTCTCCATCCAAGGATCTAATTTCACCACAAAAAAATTCTGCAAATATGGATATTAAACAAGAAACATGATATATTTCTTCAATAAATAGAATTAACAAGCAGCTCAAACACCTTGTCTAGTCAGATTCAATAATCCATCCAAGCACGTATTTGCCATTTTTGGAAGCCGCTGAGCACATAGACCAATGGCAGCAACTGTATCAGCAGCAAATCTCCTGTCCGGATCTCTAATATAATCCTAGCAAAACACTAAGAAAAGTGTCAATTTATGCACCAAATTCCATGATTTAAATGTCTTAGCAAAGAGATAAATGTGAACAACCATAATTATTGATGAAACCTATGGGCAGGTGACAATGGATGTCTGCATAAACGTATCTAGTTCCTAGAATTTTCTCTCAGTAAGGTAAGAGGAGATCCATGTTCGGTTGTGAAGGGATCAATCCTCCAACATGGACAACAACAAACCTAGGTGACTAGAGGAGGTGCCACTAGGCTGCAAGCCTGTGGCTAGAATATGTTTTATCACAGAGGCACAGTGTCTGAAAAACTCTAATTTCTTGACAAATCTAAAATATGCATGGAAGTCAAATTGCACTAGTAGATCCTTCTATCTATTCATATGTAATATACAAGGAAAACAATATATCTGACTTTGTTCACCCAAACCACAAGGATTCAACACTACTACACATTAGGTCCCTTTACTATCATACTTACGTAAACAAGGGTTTATGTTACTTTACAAATGAAAGAACTTAAAGCACATGTAAACAAAACATCAATGGAAAAATAAATGCAAGTACGACCAATAAATAAGTTGATAATGAAAGAAGTTGGCTGCACAGCACTTGAAACTCAACAGATCAGGTTCATGAACCAGAAAATAGCATAGGGTGGACAAGTTCTACATAAGCATTCAAACCAATAGTTTATATGTGTAAGGTAGTATAGGCCCGGGTCATGCCAGAAATGCACCTATCTCTAAGAAGAGTTCTAAACATGCCAACTATTGATTTGAATGCCTAGGGTAGCTTGTGCTTACCTAAGAATTATTCCATGAACCAAATGAGTTGAATCAAGCTAAAAATGTTGGTTCATTTTTAAATGAGTTGAGAATTCAGATGTGTTCCACTCATTTTTGTTGGTGTTTTCATAATTAGTCACATCCAAAAGTAATAATTATAAACAATATAATTCATGAATGATTTACCAATTAAAAGAAAACATTTAAAGAGTTTACATACAACTGACTATTTATATTTAGGTTGAATTAAGTTGAATGAATTTAATTAATCAACCAAGTTCACTAGCAGCTCAAATTATATGATTCATATTTGGAACATTTCAACTCATTTAGTGCATATAAATTAAGCTGGCTGGCAAGTTGACCTGAATGGTTGACAAGTAGTGTTCATGTTGAATTCAATTCATTAAAAATTGGTTCATGTCTAACTGACTTGAGTTTAAAATTGAATCATTTTTAATTGAGTCAAATCAAGCTAAACACTCAGCTTAACTTGTTTCTAGCAAATAATAGTAATTATTCTTAAAATAAAAAAGATCATAAATAACATCAGTCCCCATCATAACATCACAAACCTCATATCAGATTATCAGTAAGGGATGAGGTATTAGGAGGTAGGCTTGAATAGCATACTACAAGAACAAAAGTACAAGTTGCTTGGGATTAGAAGCTTTTAGACCAGAATATTAGGGCCATATCCCTCCCAAGTTTCTCAGATAATGGCCAATTAGGTCCTTTACAAAATATAAATGGTATATGAGCACATGCAGGTATAGTTGGGACACATTGCTTGGTTCAAGAATTTTGAGAGGATGCTAGTGATTTTGAGGATGAAGACATCATCTTATTGGTCCTTAAAGGTATTGTAACGGGATCCAAGGGGCTTAACAAGGACATCAATCATTTAAGTGAGAAGAAAACTAATACCCCTGGTCCCACATCAGCAAGACAAGCGTTCTAGGATATATAAGGCTTAACTGCTTAAGTGGCATAGGTAACTACTAACTAGAACTTAATCATCTGAAATTAAGTGATAAGCTTAAAGTTGCTTGGACAGTTCTACTTACTACTTGTTATGTGATAAGCATTAAAACTTAAGCTCTTGTGAACGGTCATATTGTCTTTTCTGGTACATTGGGAGGGCCAGAGGCTCAACAAAAGTGGGGACAAAAAACATACACTAGATTGTATAACCCATTCATGGAGAGAAAACCCCTGGCGAATACTTAATGCACAGTGAACACCTTACCAGATGAAGCCAGATAACAAGAAAATATCAGCATGAAAGCAGAAACAGGAGCAATCTCATTTCAGATAATATGTTCTGACATTAGATCACAATCTCATAGAAACAAGATTGAAACAGCACCAAAATGAGGCAACCATTAACAGAAACATTGCAAGATACTGATTCACAAATAATTTTAGCAGAGATATCAAATCCATCTCTTGTACAATTAAACAAAGGAATTGCTAAACAAACAGCACAACTGCAAACAGTTCAGACATTGTTGGCAGAGACAAGATATACTCATTCCAACAGAGTCCAAAACAATGAATGTGATAGGCCCTTAATTCATAAAGAAGGCCCAAATGCATTTTTGTCCAAGAATTTCTCCAAGCCCCTAATTTGGAAAGTATACGACAGAAAGAAAAGGAGAGGGGAGGTTAATAGTGGCCAGGTGACACAATAGAGTTGGTGTGTAGGGAGAATTCTGTTATAAAGGAAGTGATGAGGAGAGAGAAAGGGGAAGAAGAATCTTGTTTTGTTGGCAGAGATATTCGTACGTTCTGGGAGGAGCATAGCTCTAGACAGGGAATTACTCAAATTCTCTGGTTTTTTGTCACTATTTCCGTAATTAATATATACCTCATTTTCTTTCTTTCCCAATACCGATTTTCATTCCTTTTCTTTTTCTGTTACTCTTATGTTCATCATTTTGCTGTCTATGTATTCTTAACAGAATGATCCTGTTTCTTATATTTTAAAGGAGCATTTGGAAGAGTTTGAGTAACTTATGAAATAGCTTATGACTTACTACCAGAAAATTTTTTTTCGCTTATTCCAATAAGTTTCATTATCAAATTTATATCATAAGCTCTTGTGATAAAAGCTTATTGAAAAAGTACTTAATTAATCTACTCACCTAAACGCACCCTAAGCAATACTGATTATATAACAAGGAAACTGTTCAGAATGAAAGGAAAATTATGGATTAGAGCAGAGAGTTGAAATACCCATTATCCATTTTGCACAACAAAACTAAGTAAAACTAGGCATACTACTTTCAGGAAAACAGTCACCTAAGACCATAACTTGTCTGGGAAAGAAATATATTTGATGTGAAATACCTGAAACTCTTTAAGAATGAATGAAATGGATGATTCTAAAGCAATAGAGGAAAGTATATCCAGCTTCAAAGCCTTTATCTGATAGGAATCAGAAGAGCATATGAAAAAGTCTTCATAGTGTGGAGCAAAAAGAGATGGCATAGCTTTAGCAAACACTTGGATATTACACAATACCTGCATCAGTCAGCGATAAATCATTAATATTGAAATCAAGAATCAAAGAAATCCAGAATATATGTTGATTAACAAGAATCCATCATTTTCTTGGCTTATCTGAGTATATGTACCCCATCCCCCCTTCTAATAAATTTTTTATATCAAAAAAAATATTTTTTATCCACCAAAGAACGACAATTTTCAATATTTTAACTGGACAATGCATGTCCAAATTAAAAGCATGTGAGAGATCTCCCAAGAATAATCAAACACCATTACCTCTCAAGATTCAGCATAAAAATCACCTTAGCAAAATTTTAACACCCTGCAGATACACAATGCTATCCAGTATCCCTCATAGCATTAAGAAATCACTAATTTCATCTATACTAGTTTCAAAATGGATGAATCACCGACTAATCATCATGACCATTCCAGAAACAGAACGTCCTTTTTTCAGAAGACGTCTGAGCAAAATTTGTTTTTTAATGCTTAATCTGTTAACTGTCACTACAACAGACTAAATTTCCTCAAGTAACAGTGAAACCATCAATTCTGAAAACATGTCAACAATGTCATTCAGGTATTAAAACGTGGGTAAAAGATCATGCATTCGAAGGAAAGGTCATGGCCCTCTAAATTGACAATTCCTAGGTTCATGAAAAGTTCTTACTGTACCCACACCATCCATGTAATTATTGTGGTGTCACCCTAGCCCTAGCTAGAGGACAATGGGAAAATCATCATAGTAAAGTGACTCCTGAAAGTGTCCTGAACTCATCAAACAAAGGATAAGATCATTATTAAGTACCAGGGGATGTTTTAGGTATCCCTGACCCTACACTATATAGTCTGTAATATGCATCGCACTAGCATTCACTGATTCAGAAATGATGATGTCTCCATTCGGTACATATGCAGGTCATAGACAGCAAAAAAAAAGTTTATCCTTCTATATCTTAGGCTCATTGTAACTGCAAAGTCTAGACTCTAGACTACTACAGGTGTTCCAGGAGACCTAAACAACATACAATTCTCTTCTTGCAATGGGTATGACACCACTTCAATGACCCTCTACCCAAAATTTGCAATTGTCCTTTTCTAAAACTAATTTAAATCATATCAAGCATACAAACAGATTTTATTTTTTTCTGAGGAAGGGAAGATTATCTTCTTCTCACTAAAACTGATCTAACAATTTCACGAGTAGTAACAATTTATTAGAGATGAGAATAAAGCACAACCTATAACGATATAGTACATATTTACACAAGCTTCTCGAAAGAAGAATCCATACATAATGTACAAATAACAAACAAACAAATGTAATAGAGAATGTAGACACAGAAGTAAAACATGATAAAAATACTAACAAATGATATTGCATACCACATATCTTGAGGCATAAGATGATCGCAGGACAAACAAGAGTGGTTTAACAATTCTTTTCAAATGCTGCTTAGAAGCCATTATCCAGTGTACACCAGCAGCTGCAAGAACAACCGCACTGTTATTACTCCATAACAATGGTGATGTACACTGCAGCAGGATTCTGACAACATCATTACTGCAAGATGTATATTGTGATACATCTAATTTGGGGGCAACCCCATTAGAAGAACTTGATCGCGATAAGTACTCATCTGGCCCTTCAATGTAACACTGAAATATCATATTTGCTAATTCGGATACAGTCTTCTCACTGGCATAATCAGCATCTTCTTTTGAAGTAATGTATGATTCATCTTCCTCTAAATTGTCCATGTCTTTATTATACAAAGAAAACATAATGGATTCTTTGACAAGCCCATGCCTTGCAATCACATACCGCAGAAGGATCCCGATTAGAACTATTTGTCCCCACTCTTCCACATCAGGAAGAATCTCACACAACCGTCTGTAATTTCTTCCAATCAATGAAAAATTGTTAGGGCAAACTGAAGTAAATGCAGATGCAGCAGCTCCAACAACTCCTGGGGAATGGTCATTTAAAAGTAGTCCAACAATCTGCACCGTAAGAAGGATCAAAATTTATGTACTGAAACTGTATGTCCTTCCAACTATACATTGATGAAACCAAATGTCTGGCATAAAACTATTTTTAACAACTTTTAGTCCAAAAGTATGTAATGTAACTCAAGGAAACCCTGAAGGAAACATCACATTTTTCTTTACATTATTATTATGTCATCTCGGTTCAATTAAAGACAAATCCCAACAATTATGATAAACAGCACACAAATTAACCAGACCTCTTCAATTGCTGAAGTGTGTTCCTCCATCCGCAAATCATGAAGCTTAGGAAGTGCATTAGCAGCACATTTTCTAACATAGACAGAAGGATCTCTTGCACACTTTTGCACAGCAACAAGAACAAGTGGTGCAATTACATGAAGGCGGATTCCCGCCATGGCACGGAGCGCCCATGCCCTCACCAATGGATTAGTGTCCCCAAGGTCCTTCTGGAAGCAATTAATTGACAGCAATGCCTCATTTGGACGCCTAAGCAAAAGAAAGTAATGAAACATTAAGAAAATGACAACAATAACTCATCATTGGCAAAATTCAAGATTGTAGAAATCTTTAGTTCAGGAAAGTAAGGCATAATTTTAGAACATATCCAAACTAAAGTCCAAAAAACCCACACATAAATTGGTTCCCAATGTGTAAAAAAAAACATTTAATCAACTAGAAATGCTTACTTTCAAGTCGTTATACACAGATAAAGAGAGTTACATGCTTACTATACATACTTTTCAGCATAATGCAGGAGGTACAAGTAGACCAGCTTCTTCACTTCCAATGACTGAGACGCAACATTTTTAACAACCTGTAATATTTGTTCATACTTGAAACAAAATCAGAAAGAGAGCAAGAGAGAGAACACGAGTAGCACGCAAGTGAATAAAAATCAATTGAACTAGTTTGCTAAAAAAACTATACAATTCAATCAATTTAGATACAAAATTTTCATCAGTGATCAAGGTCAACCAAATCGAATTTAACTATATTTAAAGGGAAAAAAATGAGGAACAGTTTAGTGGACAATGCGAAGAGGGGCATAGATCGGAAAGATGGAAAAAAAGGTACCTGAGGGAAGAAGTTGGAGACTTCGAAGCCCTGAGCGATGAGAGCGAGCAAGCGCTTGAGAGCTTCGCACTTCTCGGAATCGAACTTGCTGTCGAGGAGAGGCGCGATATTGACGTCTTCGGGGTCGTCGTAGAGGTGCGCATCAGTGCCGATCCGGAACACCGCCGTCGAGGCCTTGGTCAGAGATTCCGCCGTCGCTCCGAATTGGGGGAACATAGTTTATTTTCTGTGTCTGGGAATCAATTTTTCTGATCTGTTTCTTGTTCTGGTTTTCCAAGGCTAAAACTGTGTATTCGGATGAGAGTTACAAGCCACTGGGTGCAGCTAGAGCCAGAGCCCACTGAGCTTTTGGATGCTCCGAAAGCAAAAAGAAACTGAGTGCATTATATTGAAGATAATAACTTTTTCAATACATAACTTGCCCAGAAATGTCTCTCTTGCATATTTTACCTTGGTAATTAAACTGTCATTGTAAAAGAGTTCGATATATGTACAGAATACAATATATAGTATTTATATATTTTTAAAATTTTAATTTTTTATTAAAAAATATACATTATTAATGGACGTTGTTATAATTTTTATATTAAAAAAACATTTATCTCTACCGTTAAGATATTCGTTAATATAGTTTACAATTTATTGTTGTTAAAAAAATGGTAAGTTATTAAATCACATATAAATATTGGAGAAAAAAAAGAGTAAAATATAGGTTTTTAACGGTAGTTGCTTTTTAACTTAATAACTTTCTTTTTTATATATATAATTGAAATTGAAAAAAAACAACATAAACATAAGATGTATTATAAAAGGATTATATAGTCCAAAAAGACTTAAATATTAATGGAAAAAAAATAATATTTTCTTACTAAAGTATTAAGGCATAACCTTTAGAAAAGAATTCCATACAATGCAAATCAATAATTGTTAAATAAGAAAAATTCACCTTACAATTTATCTTGTTTTTTTTTTTCGGAAATTCAATACTTGGTTTTAATCATAGCTTTTATAGGCAACCAACATGTTCTTAACTACAACTCCTGCATAACTCGAAAAAAAAATATCCACTCCGATGGCTGCATTCTTTCATGTTATTGCTATATCATCACGTTTCATATAATACACATAATATTTTATAATATTAAATTTTAAAATTTTAATTATTAAAAAATATAAATTAAATTTAAACTATTCAATAATTAAATTAATAAATTATTTTAGAGTATATATATATTGATTTAAATTAAATCAAATCAAATTTTAATTTTAGAGTTAAACTAATTCAATAATAAAATATGAAAATTAATATAATACAATTAGAAATTAATTAATGTTTTTACTCAAAATCAATACAATTTACAATTATCTATAAAATATTTATAAAAAAAGAAAGAAATTAGAATGGAACCATCAACGATACATTTAAGCAAAATTATCACTTGGTGTGCATGAATTCAATATACAATAAATCCTCTCTTTTTTGCATTTATAAATATTTGTATCTTTTGTTATTTGGAAATGAATAATAATACCCTGGTCATGTTCCATTTCACTGCTGCTCAGAGGTGGGGAGTCTGAGAAACCAAGCGCAATGGCAATTATAATCGCAATTGCTTATAACACACACTCTACACTTCACACCACGAAACCCTAGCTACTGAGGTTTTTTCACAAATCTGATCTCTTCTTCAATTTCGCTCTTGCTGACCTTTATCTCACCACACAGAAGTGCCAATGTACTGAAGGTGAACAACAACAACCTCTCTTGGTTGATCTCATTTTTTCAAATAGTTATTTGTTTAATCCTGCATTTCGCATTGAGAATTCACAAATCATCGTATGCGGTTGAGCTTTTTTTTTTTCTTTTTACTTCAATTGTAATGCATGTCTTTTCTTTGGAACTTCATATCCATGCATTGAATTTCGTTATCATGATCTCTTGTTTTGCTTTTAGGAGGTTGGCCGCGGTATTAAGAGTCGAAGTCTCTCTCTCTCTCTCTCTCTCTCTCTCTCTCTCTCTCTCTCTCTCTCTCTCTCTTCTAAAGTATTCTATTCTATTGTTCAAGGCAAATTATAATTTATAGAATCTCATGTAATGAAGGATATTTGAAGATACAAGCTACTTCACTATGATATTTAATGGAAGTAATCTGTAAAACAGCACAACAATAGCTAGTACTAACAGTGTAACATTAATTTTTATCTTTCAGGTGCCATAATATTAAGCCTTGAAGAAACTGTAATGGCTCAATGCTCTAACAAGGATAACGGTACAAGTGCATCTCAATTAAGTTGGTGGTATGTAGATATATCTTATCAAGAACTCAAAAAGGGAAGTTACAAAGTGAAAAGCTCGGATGAGACATTCATTTGTCCATATTGCCCTGAGAGAAAACAGGATTATAAGTACAGGGAACTCCTTAATCATGCTTCTGGGGTTGGTCGCAGTAGTTCAGAAAAGAGAAGTGCTAAAGAGAAGGCTAATCATCTGGCTTTATTGAAATATCTGGAAAAGGATCTTATGTGTATGGATGGCCCATCAAAAACTGAAGATAAAGGTCCTCCTGTTATTGAAGTTACTGTAACAAAATTTCTGTTCAAAATTTTTTCCTTGTTACTTAATATGCAGAAACTTGCCAGTCCACAAAGATATTGAATGGAATAATGAAGATATCTGATAAAGTAACATGACAACAGTCACTGCTAACACTATTTTTTGTCATTCAGGTGCCAAATTATTAAGCCCAAGAGAAACTGTAATGCCTCACTGCTCTAACACTGATACTGGTATAAGTGCATCTCAAATAAGTTGGTGGTATATAGATACATCTTATGAAGAGCTCAAAAAGGGAAGTCACAATGTGAAAGCCTCAGATGTGACTTTCATCTGTCCTTACTGCCCAAGGAGAAAACAGGACTATGTATACAGGGAACTCCTAGAACATGCTTATATGGTGGGTCAGAGTAGTTCAGAAAAGAGAAGTGCTAGAGAGAGGGCCAATCATCTGGCTTTAGTGAAATATTTGGAAAAGGATCTTATTATTATGAATAGTCCATCCAAACCTGTAGATAAAGGTGATCCTCCAGTTAATGAAGTTGTGATATATCAGAATTTGAGTTCAAGTTTTTATTTTATTCCCAAATTACTAAACATGCAGAAACTTGCCAATTCACAAAGATATTTAATGGAACAATGAAGATATCTATAAAGCAACACAATAGTAGTCTGTTCTAACGCTGATTTTTTATCTTTCAGGCCCCAATATGTTAAGCCTAGGACAACCTGTAATGGCTCAATGCTCTAACAAGGATACTGGTATAAGTGCATCTCAAGTAAATTGGTGGTATGTAGATAAATTTTACAACGAACTCAGAAAAGGAAGTCTCATTGTGCAAATCTCAGATGAGACTTTCTCGTGTCCATACTGCCCTAAAAAGAGAAAGCAGGATTATTTCTACAGGGAACTCCTTGAACATGCTTCTGGGGTGGGTCAGAGTAGTTCCCAAAAGAGAAGTGTCCGAGAGAAGGCTACTCATCTGGCTTTAGCAAAATATTTGAAAAATGATCTTATGATTATGAATGCTCCATCAAAACCTGTAAGTGAAGGTGATCCCCCTGTTAATAGGGTGGGTCAGAGTAGTTCACAAGAGAGAAGTGTCAGAGAGGAGGCTACTCATTTGACTTCAGCAAAATACTTGAAAAGGGATCTAACAAATGTGAGTGGTCTATCAAAACCTGTAAATGAAGGTGATCCCTCTGTTAGTGAAGCAATCATTACAGCATTTTTTGTTCAAGTTTTCCTAGTTATTAATTAAGCTAAGACTAGCTAATTCAATTCACAATGTGTTGAGAATATCTCCTAATTATTAAGATGTAATTATTGTCATTATCTCTATGGTTATTAGAAAATCCTAGGATCTGTGCTTCCACACACCCAAACCCTTTGGCACACTTCTGCACATTAAACCCTAGCCACCTTTATCTCGGCCACCCAAACCCTAGTAATTGTCTTCATTTCATTACTACTTACATTTGTTCCTTCATTGTGCATTAGGTGCTCAAACTCTAGCTTCCTTTATAGCAGCACCTAAACCCTATTAGCCATCTTCATACCTTCATTGTGCATTAGGTGTTTCAACCCTTTTGTTGGCTACCCAAACCCTAACTGCCTTTATTGCAGCAGTCTTCATTATGGCACACGTCTACACCTTCATTGCGCTTAAGTGTTTAATAAGATAACATCCTAGATTATCTTTTAATAATCATAGAGATAATGATAAATAATTATAAAGATAATGACAGTAACTAAATCCTAATTATTAAAAGATATTCTCAATACAATGATATTTAATGGAAGTAATACGTGAGGTTACACTTTTTATCAAAATTAAAAACCTGCAAAGTAATATGTATACAGTCAGTACTAACACTGATTTTTGTCTTTCAGGAACCACAATATTAAGCCCAGGAGAAATTGTGATGGGTCACTGCTCTAACCAAGATACCGATGTATGTTCATATCAAATTGGGTGGTATGTAGATAAATCTTATGAAGAACTCAAAAAGGGAAGTAACAATGTGAAAACCTCTGATGAGACTTTCACATGCCCTTACTGCCCTAATAAAAAGATAAAACGGGATTATGTGTACAGGGAAATCCTTGAACATGCTTCTGGGGTGGGTCGGAGTAGATCACAAAAAAGAAGTGTCATTGAAAAAGCTAATCATCTGGCTTTAGTGAAATATTTGAAAAAGGATCTTATGAATGTGGGTGGTCCATCAAACCCTATCGATCAAGGTGATCCCCCTATTAATGAAACAATTATAACAAAATTTCTCTTTCTTTTATCCATTTACTGAACATGCAGAAATCTGCCAATTCACATTGATATCCGATGGAGCTAATCTATAAAGCAGCATTGCAGTTGTGGCTAACACTAATTTTTATCTTTCAGGCACCATAACAAAAAGTCCAACAGAAACTGTAATGGGTCACTGCTCCCACACGGATACTAATACAAGGACATCTCAAATAAGTGGGTGGTATCTATATAAATCCTATGAAGAACTCAAAAAGGGATTTCATAATGTGAAAACCTCAGAAGAGACTTTTGCATGTCCATACTGTCCTAATAAAAAGAGAAAACGGGATTATGCATACAGGGAAATCCTTGAACATGCTTCTGGGGTAGGTCGGAGTAGATCACAAAAGAGAAGTACCATTGAAAAGGCTAATCATCTGGCTTTAATGAAATATTTGGAGAAGGATCTTATGAATGTGGATGATCCACCAAAAGCTGCACTTGAAGGTACTCCTCCTTTCAATTCTGAGAAACAGTTTGTGTGGCCATGGACTGGGATTGTGGTTAATATTCCCACTAGCCAGACAGAAGATGGACGATATGTTGGAGAGAGTGGTTCCAAGCTGAGGGATGAATACCTAAGCAGGGGATTTAATCTGTGTAAAGTTCGCACTCTTTCAAATATCTGGGGTCACTCTGGAACTGCAGTAGTGGAATTCAATAAAAATTGGTCAGGCTTAGATAATGCTCTGGCATTTGAAAGAGCATATGAATTAGATCATCATGGGAAAAAAGACTGGTTTGCTAATACTGACCAGAAGTATGGTGTTTTTGCATGGGTTGCCCGAGCTGATGACTACAAGATGAACAATATCATTGGAGAACAACTGCAGAAGATGGGAGATATCAAAACGATACCTGAACTTATGGAAGAAGAAGCTCGAAAGCAAGATAAACTTGTGTGCAGTTTAAATAATATTCTTCAGGTCAAGAAGAAGCAATTAAAGGAGATTGAAGCAAAATACAACAATACTTCACTTCGCATGGACAATGTAATGGGGGAAATAAATAAGCTCACTCAAAATCACAATCAGGGTACCTATTATTATTGAACCTAAGTTGCTTTTTTTCCTCTAATTTGAATTATGAATCTTTGGTTGTTGTTGTAAATGTTTTATGTTTCTGAATTTTTTTTTCAGTTGTAGAAGGCCCTAGTCTATGGTGAAATACTAATTTGTTTATATTGGCACAACTGCCAGTGTGGTAGACCACTGGATTCAATTGAATTTTAACATTTTTTATTGGCAGAATCAACTTCCAGAAACTGCAACCTGCTGGTTGCATCATCATAGTGGTTACGTTATAGAATTTATCTACGTAAAAATAATGGTTTGCAAATGTTCTGCTACGTCTTCTACAATAGATTTGTGACATTTCATTGTTTTTAAAATATCCTGAACCATTTTAACACTGTTGTATTATGCCATGATTGCTTGTATTCAGAGATGAAGAAAACACAGTCAAGTGCAATTCAACACTTTCAGAGTATTTTTAATGGTCATGAAAGGCTTAAGTTGCAACTGGAATCTCAGAAGAGAGAGCTTGAGTTGCGGAGAATTGAATTGGAAAAACGTGAGGCGCATAATGAAAGTGAAAGAAAAAAGTTGGAAAAAGAGATTAAGGAGGTGTAGTGTTTTTCATATTTTTGTTGCATGTCTTCTATCATGCTGATTGAGATTCCTGTGAAATGAAGATCGAAGGAAAACTATATTTTGTTTATGGATGGTTAATTAACAAGATCAATACTTAGATGTTTCTGTGATTTTCAAAGGAGTTGGCAAACATGGTTAATAAAATTTTCCACTTTTACTCATCAGGGTTGATGATAACCTAATGGTTGGAACACTTTTCAGTTGATTGTGCAGAGAATTGAGTCCAAGCATATCAGGAATATAATCAAATTGGTTTCTATTTTAGTAGTATGTAATTGGAGGCTATGCATTTTCTTTGTTCTTTGAAAATTCTTCTTTTTTTTGCCAGTCATAAATGCACTGCATGAGACTATTTCTGTCCATGAATATTTTTTCTTGAGTCAAATGTGTGCCTCTATACTTATTTTTTGGGAGGGGAGCAGGGGGAGGAGTGGGATTTACTCTAGCCTTGGTGTTGTGTTCTAAAATGGATTTTAATAATGATAAAAATATGAACTCCATTGAGTTGTCATATGCTAAGGACTTTATTAGATGAAATTTAGGGAAAAGAGGGTGAAATAAAAGGCATCAGTTTAGGGTGCGAAAGAAGTTCTCCAGAGTTTTCTATTTCTGCTTTATTTTTTCCCTCCTTGTAAGGATCTTGTTATGGAACCTATAAACAAAAAGTTTGGCATTATTTCTGTCTTTGAAATCTTTTAATAATGATGATGTGGCTAATTTTGTAGAATGTTATGTTTAGCAATGCCGATCTCTATTGTCTTTTCAGAATGCAATGAAAAATAGCTCTCTTGAAATGGCTGTTCAGGAGCAACAGAAAGCTGGTGAATATGTCTTGAAAATGGCTGCAGATCAAAAGGTTTGTGTAGCCTATTTTTATGTTTTTTAATGACGAAGTGTGCCAATGTCCACATCAGAATAGCAGGTTGTTCATACTATTTTACTATATTTTTTCCAGTGGCAAAAAGAACAACTCCATGCTAAAATCATCCAGCTTGAAAAACAACTGGATGTGAAACAAAAAGTAGAATTAGAGATTCAACAACTAAAAGGAAAATTAAATGTCATGAAGCGCATGAAAGAGGATGGAGACTCAGAAGTTCTGAATAAGGTGGATGTTCTACATAAGGATTTAAGAGAAAAAGAACTGTCACTACGAGACTTGGATGCGCTGAATCAAACACTGATTATTAAAGAGCGTAAGAGCAATGATGAGCTACAAGAAGCTCGAAAAGAATTGATTAATGTAAGTGTTTTTTTTTTTTTTTGTCATCAAATTTATCTTCCATTCCCGTAGTACTGATTTTATAATGTTAGTGCATTATTTGAATTCTCATATTTCATTTATTGGCTATCTGTAGTATATGGCCCTGGTCATGTTTTAATTGATGAATTTTCTTGTCCATTTAAATTGTATGAACTAAATATGATATTCACTTATTGAGGAAGCTGCCCTGCATAATCCTTAATGCCAGAAAAAGAAAATTGCTCTGATGTACACAGGCAGTGTTATAAATTTTAATTTTTTGCATACTATTTTCCTTCTTTTGGCCTTCTTTTTATGTTGTAATCTTTATTTACTTTTTGTTTAGAGCAAGGTAGCATAGTGATTCAAGTAATATATAAACCTCATCATGGTTTCTTTGCCGTCTAAGTGACATATATTACCCAAAAAATCTTTGATGTGAGTCAATCTGATTGTGCTTATGCAGAAGAGACCTATAAATGTGAGAAATGGAGTCTTTTAAACTGTAATATAGCGTGGGGATATTCAATGCTTATTTGTCACATGACTTATAGCTCTTGGATTTTTTAATTTTTGGAAACTTTCTTACATTTTGTGAACTTTATTGGATTTTCATCTGCTGCAGGGCATTAAAGAGATATCTTGTCATGCTAATATTGGTGTGAAGAGAATGGGGGAACTTGATATTAGACCATTCCTCGAAGCTATGAAAAAAATTTATAATGAGGAGGATGCAGAAGATAGAGCTTCAGAACTGTGTTCATTGTGGGAAGAGTATATCAAAGACCCAGACTGGCATCCATTTAAAATTACCATAATTGAAGGGCAACATCAGGTATTCCTTATTTAAGCTCATAGATATCACTAATAAGTCTTAATTAAATTTGGCTTGTTATAGAAGAAGAGATGTTTTGGACTGATTGATATTACCTGCCTTCATCCATTTACGAACATTTGATGGCCACAAAATTAGAAGAAAAATAATACTGAATGTCATTGGTATTTTAACTATTCTGATCAGCATGTAGATCTTTTAATGATGTTAGATGATTAAGTTTAGGACTAAGATAAACGGTGCCTATATTTAGGAAAGTTATTAGGATATCTACTAAATGTGGTTGGATCACAGGGTTTGGTTAAAACACGAGCAACAGGGCTTCTCCAACTTTTATTCATTTCTGCATGACCAACTTGTTTGGCTCATTCTACTACTTCAGGACAATATTTTTTCAACATAGCAATATCATATAAATAATGGTTTTCAGATTCATTTTATTCTACAATTCGTTGCATTATTTCTCTAATATGTATGTTTTCCTGGTGAAACTTATCTAGCTTCTTGCTTTTTTCATCTCAGGAAATCATAGACAACGAAGATGAAAAACTCAAAGGACTGAAAAACGAGATGGGTGAAGAAGTCTACAAAGCTGTAGTGACAGCTTTGACGGAGATCAATACATATAATCCAAGTGGGCGGTACATAACCTCAGAATTATGGAATTATGAAGAGGGAAAGAGAGCTACTTTGCAAGGAGGAGTAAATTTTTTATTGATGCAATGGAAACTACATAAACAAAAAAGGGGATTGATGTGAAGACTGATATATAAGTAATTAAAATAAGATACCGCATTTTTCTCTTGAACTATATATGTTGAAAGAAAAGATCTTACTAATATGCAATTTAATCGCTGATAAAGACTAAGCACCCAGGATGAAGGCTGCATCTTTTCTCGAGAGTATTGCTAGCTGATTTATGGTATTTGATTACTGTTTCAACTTAACCACCGAATATAACGCTTCAGCGTTGATTTGGTTACAGGACTACACGTTGCTTTCCAAGAGCTCAATTTGCTTTGAAGCCCGTATTCAAGGACTTGAATATTTTTAAGGAATGCAGAATGTATTTAAACTAATTTAGTTTCAAATGACGTTCCATGTATCCAATTCCATGGAGGTTCTTCTGATAACCAAGCTGTATTCCTAACAATTATGCTTACTATTTAGGTCAACTTCCACCTTAGACCTAAACCAAATTCAGGTCCCTAAATTTGTGAAGCGATTCAATGTAATTACATTATTGATAGCATTTTTTCTCCTTTCAGTATATTTGATAAACAGCGTTTTTAATAAATTTTTCTTTCATTAAGTTGCACTTATTCTTGATGATGAGGTGAGTTATCTTCAATCTGGCGTCGTGTATTTAAGTCCTTACTTCACATGTCTTTGATTATAGAAAGATTTTAAAATTTTTAGGCACGGTAGAGTAGTATTATCTATTGACTATGCTCCTCTTTTTTACCTGTTTTAAACGATTGTTGTCATTTTATATATGATTCTGTTGCCTTGAGAAAAACAATCAGTAATACCGCTATGTCCTTAGAATGTACCTGTTTTAAAAAATATTCAGTAATAGTACTAATATATAATAAAATTTAAATCAATTTTTGACATTATTTTTATTTTGTTAATTAGTTAAAAAAAAGGTTTCGTAAACTTAATAGTATTCAATACAATTATCCTGAGGAGCAATTAATAATCTAAATAAATGAGGCATAAAAAGTATTATTATTAAACACGCAAGGCATGGGTGGTATTAACAAATAATATGAAATTAATTTTGAACATCCTTTTTGTTTATATTTGAAGAATTATTATTAGAACAAAGTTTAGTAAACTTTTTGTACAATTGTTAAAAATAACCGACCTATTAATGGAGGCATCGATATGAGCAGTCTTCTCACACGAAAGGTATAGTCCACTTTGGCACCAATTTATGAAGAGACAAATACAATTAGTCAATTAACATTCATTTGCCTAATTATCTTTTTCTCCTTTTCGCTTTTCGGCGCGAGCAAGCGTGCTTAAGAAAATGCATGCATCAAACACTTGTCCAATTTCAATTAGCTTATCACTTTAACGAATTATAGTCGAGGATAGAAGAACAAATCATGACTCAATCAACCCGTAATAACAACTTAATTAATTGAACAAAATCCACATCAAACCTCGGCTTAACAAAAGTGAACAAGAAAAATTATAAAGAAGAGGAAGATAAACTTACTTAATCTTCTTGTACTATAAATTATATAGATATATATAAGAAGCACAGCTGCGGGCTCATGAATTTGAAGCCACTTCAGCCCCTTACAAGTTTCACATTGGCGTAATGTTCCCTCCATTTTCTAGAATTCTATAAAACTTAAAACCCATATAACAAGAAAGTGACAATGTCGTACCCCCCCCACTTTCACAATCAAAGACGAAAAAAAAGTCAAAAAGTTTCCCTAATCACTACCACAAACGTACTTTACTTACTTTTCTCTCCATTTTCTTTTTCTTCTCGCCGTTTCCCTTCTATCCACACCCCAAGGTAAATTCAAAACTACATAGAGATGAAAATTTCCATTTTGTTTCAAAAAGAAACAAAATTAGACCCTAAAGTTTTTGCCAGAGAAGGTTTGGCCAAATTGCCAATTGGAGGGAACAATGTTCCATGAGGTGGAGGTGCGTCGGTCACTGGCTGTGACCCTGAAAGACAATGACTGACCAACCAAAACAGCGTTTGACTGCCAATTTTGACCCCAGTTGCGGCTCATGCTCATCCACCCAGTCCTCGACCCTTTAACGCTCGTCCTCACGATATCCCCTGCGCCCGCGACGTTGGTGATCAAAACCAAGTTGAAGTAACGGAAACCGTTGATTGTGAACCTCATCCCTCCCTGCTTCCGACAAGGCACCCTGCACATTACCACACCCAATCACGTTCACCATTGGCATCCATCGTAATAAAACACAGCCACAGGGGCACATACAAATACAACACACAGGAAGTAGAAAAGATGATTCTACTAAATTTTTGGTCGGTTTCGGGAATCGTGCAAATACGCGGCAAAAGGTGCGGGCTTGTCAAAATCCTGAACCGGTTTCAGATAAACGGTTCAGGTTTGTTCTCTCTCTCGCCGATGGGCCCCCCCAAAATGCTTCATTTCTCGCGCTCATGACCCATCGACGGTTCTCATCAGATTTCACTTTTTCCAATTACGAATCAACCACTGACTACTGTCTAGTCTCCGCCACAGAGAATCTAAGTACATTTTGTCGCTCAAAACGACGTCGTATTTCTTATTATGTACTTCGAGAAGGCCAAAAAACCAAGCGCGCTTGGTTGGTTTGCCTTTTATTTTTAATTCATTTATTTCATAAAAAAATGTAATTTTCTATAGTAAAATAAAACCCTCTAAGTATCCAATATGCGAGTGCTCTTTAATCATAATTTTTTTAGTGATTACACGAATCAGTCCTAAAGTGACATTTTATTTATTAAATGTGTATAATTTATTTCTGAATATGCAAGTTTTGCTCATGATTTATTCACATTTTATTTATATTTTTAAAAAAATATTATCACCTTCACATGTTTTTATTGTCTCTTATGTAAAATACTTCTGTTATCTTATTCATATAATTAAAGTAAAAAAAAATTAGTTAAAAGTGACAACAAGCACTAAAATATTAAATATATTCATTTTTATATAAAAATAATAATTTAAATATAAAAAATTAACAGAATGTCAACACGGGGAGTGTACAAAAACAATTCATCTAAGAGAGAGAGAAAAAAAAACCAGAATGTCAACTTTCAGGGTAAATTATAAATCTACTTTCTTTCGTTCGCACAAAATTTTTCAACAAATAACAATTCATTTTTAAAATATTTTATTAAAAAAAGACTTAAAAAGTAAAGACAGAGAAGAGAGAAAAGTTACCGGCGGAAAGAGACGGGAACGATGCCGGCACGGTACTCAGCGATTTTGAGGAACATGGGCATGGCGAGGTCGAAGTGTGGGCGTGGAGGGTTACACCAACCCCCATTGTCGCTGGGAAGAGCGTAGTTTGGGGGACAGAAGTTGGTGGCGGTTATGAAGATTGATGGGCTGCCGGCGTGGCACCAGTTGGGGTCATCGGCACACTTAATCTCGAAGCAAGCTCCACAACTTAACCCTTTGTTGAAAAGCGCGGTGCTCAGTGCCGCTGTGTTTACGCCGTAGCCTTGGCTGTATAAGTTGCCATAGCCACACGCGCCGCCCATTGTGCCGGAGGCGTCGCTCCCACCGTAGAATGTGGCATGGGCACTTTGCCACGCGCCGCCCGTGTACGCGCCTGGGATTCTGGCTTGGGTGGAAGTGAAGAGGGTTATGATGGAGACAATGGCGATGATTTTGTTGACCAAAGGCATGGTTGTTGCTGTGAGGAGAGGAAGTGAAAGGGTTTTGTGTTGTGAGTGAGGTGTGAGGTGTGAGGTGTGAGGAAGGAAGAAAGCATGGAGTGTTGGTATTTATGGAGAGAGAGGGGCATCAATGTGGGCCTCAAGAAGGGGCTCAAAAGTGAAGATTAGTTAAATGACTCTTGCTTTTCCATGTTAATCAATTTTATTACGGTGGAGTGAACTCAGATTTTCATTTTTAAATTTGTAAATATTAACAAATATATTTTTTTATTTTTAAGTTTATTTGTTATCATTATTTCATATAATAAATACACCTCTAAGGGTTTAACATAAATTCCAACAATGACACCGATTAACAAGAAGTGTTCTTGGAAGAAATACTATACGAAGAAAGGATAGTGGTTACATTGTACGTTAAGTAGTGTATTTAATATGGTGGACGTATTATAATCTTTGAAGCATTACTTAACGTCACTGCCCTTCCAAGTGACAATAATTAGCAATTAGCAGTAAATGAGGAATGCAAAACAGTAGTAATGGGGATGAGTGTAGGGGACAAAAGAGGCCTCAGGTTGATATCAAATCTCTTTGCTTCATTTGCAAGTTGTGCCATCAAATGGAACTATTGAAACTATTTTTATCTTTGGAATTTTGGGTTCTTCTTTGTGTTACTCTTCACTGTTTCAACTTTCATGTTTATTGCTTGGACTAGTTAGTCTTCTCTGCTGGGGTGCGTCGTACGGTACGGATATCATTTGCTTTTCCCTCCCCTATCTATGACTAATGCTTGCTGGGTGAAAATTGCTCTCTCCATGCCATAATATTTATTTTTTTATTTTAAAAATAAAAATATAAAAGAAAATGTGATAATGTTATAAAATAATGCAAAATTGTAACTAATAATATTAAAACAAATGTAAATTCGCCGATATTTTGTTAGTAAAAAAATAATTGTCCGAATATCATTTTTTTTCTTGTATGGGGTTTGAGGAGTCAGTGACGAAAGAGAATGAATCATCAAGAGAGTGTTGCGGCCCCAATATAAAACTTACCACCAAATATCTCAACCGAGTTAAGTTATCTAAAAATATGTATTAAAGAGTGTAATGTTATCATCATTGTTAATGTATACAAATAAATGAAGGTCAAATGTTAATAATTTTATTCTTTTTATCTTTTTTTAATATATCTTTTTAATTATTAAATAAAAAATTAGGAAATAATTGTTTATAATTTTAAAATAATAAATACATATAGTTTATCCTCAATACTTGTACTGTCAAAAAAAACATTATGAGGACATATTCTGAAACTTGTAGGACATGAGTAGATGTTTGTGTAAATTTTTAGACTATATGTAATGTTCGTGTCAGTTACAATACTTTTACGTAGTTCCAAATACACATATCCAAGCAATAAAGGAATGTAAAATGAATAGAAAAAGACATAAAAAAAATCATAAGAAAAGAAACTACAAAAAAATCAAAATATTTATCTTATACGTGTGGGTCATTTCTTTATATAGAAAAATGATAAAATTACCATGTTTTGAAAAAAATTATAAAAATATGAGAACTTTTCAAAATTTGTCAGTAACGTTTTTTGGACACTTTAAATTATTATTTTTTTTTTAAAAAATTGTTATCGGTAGTTTTCTAATTTTAAAAAATTTTATTATTTGTTAAAAAATTATCATTTATAAGTTTAGAATTTTTAATTTTTTAATATTTTATTTGATTATTGATTATTGATTTTTGAATTTTAATAAATTTGTGCTGTTCTATTAATATCTACACTAAAAATTGTTAATGACAAATTTTGAACTCATTTTTTCATAAATTTTTTAAAATATATTATATTTTAATATAATATATATATATATATAATCTATTTATTTTATTATGTTCATATGCATATGAACAAGATAATAGATAAAAATATAACTTATTAAATTAATGTGGAAGTAGTTACTATACTAAAATTTCAGAAGCATTATTATTTTTTTATTTTAACAATTAAGACGAGAAACAAATACCTTAGAGACACATGTTAACACAATATTATTTTAATAATGTATTTACATAAATATGTGTCACATTTAATCAAAATTATGTTAAATAAGAAAATAAGAAACTTTAGTCAGAGTCACCCATCACGGCTACTGCGCCTGGATATGCCGTTACTTTTCTTTTTCTCTATTGCTAAAATGGAAAAGACCCATTAAACTTGATCGTTGATTTTTTAGTACCATAAACAGAAAAAGTCGGAGACACTAATAAAAGAAGATCTTCATCATAAAGATCCAGTGGAAATTTTGAGTCACCCAGAAAATTAATTTTTTTACATTTAAAAATCTGTTAACCACTTTATAATTTGAAAATTAAGAAAAAGAGATAGAGACAGTAGCCAATTTTGCAAGCCTTCACATTGAATCTTAATGTCAGGTATGTGTCTGAGTTCACACATGAAAGTAGTAACTCATTTGGAGTGTTTTGAAATAATATGAAGCTTTTTTATTTGTGTGGTGAGAAGTGCTAATCTGGTTTTCAATTGTGAATGACTGAAAAAGATTATACATCAATTACACTTTTTGAAACAAATGTGCTGACTATCGTTTTAACGACAATTATTAATTTAGTCAAACAAATTGATGTTCTTTTTTTAAATAAATGTCATCTCCAAATCTGTTCCCATTAAAACACACAATTCAAGAGGTTATATAACATAATATTTTTTTTTATCTGTATATATTTTTTTAAAATAATGCTGTACTAATTCAAACTTGAATGCTAAAAAAAAATTCCGCTTACTAAGTTATGAAACCAACCAATTTGAAATATAATTTAAAAAAAATCATGTTTTTAGACAGAGTCATCATTTTGATTTTGATTTTTTTGCTTTTTTTTAATTTGATTCTTACTTAACATTATTGTAAAATATTTGAATATTTACAATTAAAATTACACATTCTTTATTTTGAAACTTCATGTTGGTCTTTAGTCATTTGTTACCATAGTTTGTAAGCATATACTTAATTAAACTGTAATGGGGTTTTCGTTATTTAGAATAGTTAGCTTATTACAAGTATTGGCCATGGTAAAAAAATTATGGTTTAAATGTATTTTTAGTCTTTAATATATTATGTCAAAATTTTCTTCTTACATTTTGAAAATGTAGTCGTCGATCATGATGGTTTCATTTTGTTTAGGTTTAAATTTTAATATTTATAATTTATTGGACGTTGACATTGATTATCATCTCCAAAAAATATGTATTAATATATGACCGATAACAAAGATTAAAATCAAAACAAAATAAAAACTATAAAAATGAAAAAGTTAAAATTTCAAATTAGTATAATAATAAAAATTAAAAGTAAAACAAATTCTAAGAACTAAAGATATAATTAAGTCATTTTTTTATCATATAAATATAGTTGCATATAATTAATTTTGGCTAGCCCATTTTCATGCAATTAATTTTAACTGCGGTTGGATAAACTTTTGTAGTATATATATCAAAGTGATAGAATGAGCTGTTAAGCGAATTATTAAGAACGGGTGCGAATTGAATTTGGTTATAGTCATGATCTTAGAGTTAGAGCTTCTCTTTAGTTTGATTTAACTCGAGAAATTAGAGTCTTTTACTTAACCTTTAAGTTATCTTTCTATAATTGAATATTTAATTTTGGACATAACTCATCCTTATTATGAAAATAAATATATATATTTATATAGAAAAAAGCATCTTCGATATGTGAAGATGACATAAGAAGGAGAATATTACACAGTGATAAACACATAATTTGCCTAATTGTTTTTATTATTTGATTATTCGATTTAACAAGAGTTGAAACTTTAGAAAAGTGATGTCTCAACGAAGATGCAAAGTGACTAGTAAGTGAAAGAAATTCAACGGACGTAGATGTAGCTAAGTGGGTCCCACCCCATGCGTTCAAAGCCTCCACCGCATTTAACGCTCCACGTATCACGCCGTGCATTTGCCGTACATTTTGGGACGGCGTTGAGTCTTTCCGCATTCTAACGTCACAGCCACGTACTCGTAAACGGAACGGAGACCGTCCTTTTTCAACTTGCATAAAAAAGCGATAGAAGGTTTGACCCTACCGTATAATCCCGTACTTTAACTTTTATTATTATTATTAAAAAAATTTACATTAAATTTATACTTAAAATCAAAATAAAATTTTTTAATACGTGTCTGAAGATACACATTAAAGCTTTTAAAATGTTTATCATTCTAAAATTATATAAAATATTTAATGTTTTTATAATAATTTAAAGTGTTTAATATGACATAAAAATGTAATGACAAAGACTCAAACTAGACTAAAATTAATAACAATTAAATAACCGTTTTCATTGTTGCATACAATATCATACTACACTGTCTAAATTAATAACAAGATTAATTCAAAGTTAGAAAAACCATAAAAATGTAATGACAAAGACGAGTACATTATTAATTAGTTTGACACGTACTAAAATAAAGCATTAATTAACATAAGAATGATCTTTAAATCTGTTTGCTCTTGTGACTCGTGTGTTACCTTCCTTTAAAGAGTTTGAGGCGTGACTTGGTTAATTATCCGATCGTATTATCTACCAAATCAACCAGATCTGCCACGTAGAGGATATAATCAAATCGTAGTTCAACAACTACGTAGGTATACACATTACAAATTGACTTAACCAGCCAAATGCTAATGTACATTGCGATTCATAATGGTATTATCTAGTATTTGACTTAAGCATCTCAAATTCTCAATTGCTTTTAAAACCACTAATTAGTTAATAGCTCTTGCATTAGACTAATGTTTTAGGATTAGAGACTTGTTTGTTGCCACAAGTAATGGACGTGGAAAACGAAGAAAAAGGAAGGGGCAAGTGAAATGCGTGTTAGTGTTCTTCCTACTACTACCTACCAAATTAACAAAGCATCTTAGTCACATTCTTTTTCTTCTCAGGTAGGGATGTTAACATTGTGCACCTGTGAAGCTGTTTATTATTTCACC